TTGCATAGCTGCTGGGCTGTGAGGGGACTTTTACGTCATGGCTGCTCTTGTTATTGCTGAGCCAAGTTCCCACACTATTATTACAAAATAATGTTTGTCAAACAGTTTCCTTGAACTGCTCAAACACATTAGAGTGACTCATTTTCATCCAGTGATTTAATCCAGTGTTATTTATAGAGCGCCAATTCACAGCAAAAGTCCAATAAAATCTGTGTCAGGACCTGAGAGCCCAAAACAATGCACCTTAAGAAAACACATGCAAACAACCAAATTCAAAAATAACACACTTGATAGCACATGATTCAGAAGAAACACAGTGACTAAACACAACCAAATACAGAAAACTGTCCGGGTCACAGAACCCTGGCTATTTATCCCAAATGTTCAGCATCAATATGTCGCCAACGACAGACATAAATTAGTGTCAAACAGCTCAGCTCTAATTTGGGATCATGTCTGGTGCCTCTGGAAAGCGCAGCTCTAGGAAACAGGATGTGAGGTTATTTCTGCTGAATCCAATTACCTTCCTGCTAATGCACAGTCTTAGCAGTTGGTACAGATTAGGAGCATATGCAGCTGAGACGAGATTTCTACTGTCGAGCTAATTCAGATTTTTCCAACCTGCGCTTCATTTTTCACGAGCACAATGGGATCAACTTTTTCATGGCGATCAAATCATGGAGTAAGCGCCTGTGGTTTGTTCCTCCTTAAGGAGCTCTGCAGAGATTAGCGCGGTGTCAGAAACAGTTTCTCCTCCTGCTCTATTGTGGAGCCAGACTTCAGGCATTAAACGAGTGTAAAAATCAGTATTGTCTCTGGCACAGATTACTACTTTGCACAAGGGTAGTTTTGCACTTGGAGAAAATAAGAGTGTTTGACACAGACGTGAGTGGTGCGTTTAAGGAGAGCAGGATTTAGCAGCTGTAGATTAATGTTTCTGTGCCTGAAAACATGTTGGCTCAGTTTGAACTCTGTCCTCATGCTGGCAAACCTCACCTGCCCGAGGTACTCGGCACAATACTGCTGGAGTTAATCCCAGACTGACTGATATCTGCTCGGACTGTGACCAGAGGGACTAGACAAGTTCACACTGCACATGCTGTATCAATGCAAACTGAATGGAGGCGAATGTAAGCTGTAATGATCTGAAAGGTTAAAAGCAAATGAACAATTCTACTAAATTTGTTGTTTTTGTTTTTCTTGGAAAGCACTGGTTTGGGTTTCTCAGTTTGAAGTGTCATGTTGGTAATTAGTGAAAAAGAGGAAACAAGCAGCTCACACACAGCTCCAATGTTCATAAGAGCAGCGGTGCTCAAACACAACATCACTCTTTAGGGTGCAGTTCATAAGTTAATATTGGAGCCCCATAGTTTTCAAACCATATTTTCTTCTTTGTCATTGTTCGCTCATTTTTGCCTCCGTACCTGCCTTTTTTTGGATTGGATGTGCAGCCACAGTTCTCGTTGGTAATTAGTACAAATAAAAAGAAAAAAAACAAAACTATAGAGTTCATGAGTTCAGATAGAAAATGTCAAAAAACTGTCACATTTTTTTTAAACAAGACTGAAAGTCTGCAGCTGTGCTCTCGGCTCAGCATTAGAGCTGAATGGCTGCAATTATTTTGGCAGATGTACAATTGTGAAATGAATCACACTTTTAGAGGGAATGGTAATTTGCGTATTTCTTTTCCACAAAAAAAATCCCAAAAAAGATGTGATTTCTGCAGCAGTCTGTGCCAAACAAGCATGCTCCCTTACTACATCTGAGGAATATGATTTAAGGCAGAGTAGCTCTGTAGCACCACAATGCTTCCTTTATTATAGTACTTTGTGACACATTTTGTGATCAAAAATCTGCAGCTTCTGTAATTTTGATATTGTATTGACAACATGCTAACATGTTACAGTTACAATGCTCGCAATGCTAATGTTTACTGTCTCCATTTTGCACGTTAGTTAGGGCTACCAAAGTTAGTACAATGTGTGTGCAAAACTGTGTTGCAATCCATCCCATAGTTATTCGAATATTCCACTTGAATTGACATTAACAATGCACCAGTGGGCTCAAGCAGGAATGCACAGGTCAGGTCCTGATGCAGGTTACTCAAGGCCGAGCAGCGTGTGCGTCTGTCTGTCTTTATCAGACTGAGCTCTGTTACACTTTTAGCTCTCAAACCATGTTGTTTGGCTCATGAATGTTTTTAACATGATTTCCGTGTGTGCTGCCTACGGTGTAGACAAAACTACATTTAAGAATGTGTCTCGGCAATATCCACATAAATCTTGATGTATATCCATTATTTGCATTGTATGTTTAGAATCCATTGAGAATATTCTACATCAGTTGGTTCAACCGTTTGAATACTTACCAGTGATACACCAATAGATGATGGGATGGATAAACAGACCTGAGTGGATGCCTGTCCATCTATAATATAGATGGAAAGAAAAATAGATGTTCACTACCTATCAATAAATCATCTATCATGGAAAGTGATAAATAGATAATATCCATATATAAATATATTCATTAATTGTTCCATCCATGATAATCTGTCATGTTCTTAGCTAATTCCAAAAGTCATTTATTGATCTAAAGGGATGCAGGTATTACAGGTCATGCAGCTACATTTTATTCATAAAGCTTAGACACCGATGAACTGAACTCTCTTCGTTTCAGGGGCTCCCAGTCCTTCCACTGTACCCTCTATACGAATGAGGTCACATGGCTCAGAAATCCAGTTTAAGCAGGCAGCATTAAGTGCAGCAGGAGATGAGACCTGAGGGGGGCGGAGCCAGCCTGACCAGCTGAACTAATGGCATCAATTCACTCACAAGGATATTGCTGTCAGAACAACGATGTAAATAAATGTTGGTGCACATACTGATGTGGTTTACAGGCCTGTCTCTACATTTGTTGCATTTATTGTTCATACTGTCTGTGCTTTTGATAGCTTGTGGAAATAAAACCCTTTACTTGTGTATTTTCTTCTACTGTCTCTGTATAAAACATCTACAGATACACAAAGAAAAGCTTCTTCTGAAGTTACAACATTCCCTCTGTGCTTGTTTCAGTCAATTTTACAGTTCATTGTATTCCAACAGAAAACATTCAAACTCTTCAGTCCACCGGGGAGGGGAAAGCAATGGAACGGGGCTGGAGCTAAAGAGAGAGAGAGAGTCTAAACGGATTATCATGAGGCAGTTCAAGAGAATGTTTCTCATCCCATTGCTGGCCATCATCAAAGAAAGCCCCGTGTTCCTCCACAGGGAAACACTGGATTAGTTGCTGAGTTCTGTCAGTTTCTAAGCAAGACAGCTGCCTGTTCTGCTGCTTCCAAGAGGACAAGTTTTCATCAGGACATCAAGAATTTTTGGAAATCCTGTCGGGTTTTCCAGTGGAATGATCGTACAATGTGACGGACGGCTGTTGGGAGTCGCGCACGAGGGCAGAATCTCATGGATACTCTGGGACTTGTCTAACTCCATTTAGTGAAAATGCAGGTTTGACACATTCGCTAAATGGGAAACCCTGCAGAGATTTATTTTTATCCATGACTTCACCAGTCCAGAGCGACTGCCATGGATCATGCATGTGATCAAACCTTTGGTGTCTTGCGGAGTTCAGGGGAATCCTAATCTGTACGGCATCCCGCTGAGATTAATTCAGCAATGACGAAGGACTGGCAGCAAGTGTGATGATCTCATGCCTCCCCTCTGACCTCTGTGGCCTCTGTTGACCCTGTGGAAATCCAACGGAGACGTAAACTGATCTAAGTCAAGAACCTGGCAGGATTCGATCGTCTGGCGGGTAGAATGCGGTGCCATGTTGCGGAGGGTCGGTGGACATAAACTCTAGGTGCTCCTGGAGTTGTCCCGGCTCCCCACAGAAATTTTAAGTGTCTGGAGTCAGGGGAGTATTTAAATGGTGTTAATAACGGAGGAACAAAGTGGAGGTTCAAAGGTTCAAGAGAATGGAGTGGCGAGAGGAGTTGGAGTCAGCGAAATTGAGTTTAGAACCAGCACAGTGGCTATGGATGCACCTGTCATCACCGCGGTTGACGAAGACGGGCAGGAGTGTGAGGTGTCAGACGAGGAGAATAGTGAAGAAAGCGAGGTTGATTACACGAGGAACTATTGGGAGGATGAGGACGATATCTACCAGGAGTTTGAGGAGTTGGACTTCGAGTCCCTGCCGGATCGTTCGGACACGCGGAGCATCGCCTCAGACGATTCCTTCTATCCTCCAGACAGTTCAGTTGCCTCTTTTGCCATGTACCGTTCGCCGAGCCCCGACAGCCCCGAGCCCATCTCCTTCTTCAAGGCCTGCAGCAACAACAACGCCATCATTGTCAAGATTATGATCAGGCAAGGAGTGACCGAGGAGGAAGTGAAGGAGACGGACAGGAACAGAAGAGTAGGTGTTGAGGTTCACTACATTTGAATATGTTTGGTTTTCTGGCACCTCTAATGCTAGATTCAATCCAGGCATGTCTACATATTGTTTACAGACCAACTCTCTTGGTGGAACCCAAGGCGCCATGTTTTTTCCACTTGACTAGTCAGTGTGCTGGCGATACACAATGTTCCATTAGCATCAATCTTGAAGGGCTCTACCAGTGTTTAGGTGTGTGCCCCAAGAGTCATGTATGCCTATTCTTGATCATTTATCATTGAATTCTGTAGAGTTTGCGGTAGGTAGTCTACGGGTGGGTGACAAAGTGTCTTAGTAAAGTGTCTTGGCATTGGTTCTCTCCATCTATTTGCAACTACTGGAGGGATAGACATCATTCTTTTAAAAGCAATTTCCTCATTTGGTGTTTTGATGACGGTGCTGAGACTCCTGTCTAACACTACAGTGACCCGCCATGCCCTTTGGATGGAGCATTAATGTCCTGGAAGGTCTGCTTCATGCTCAGGCACAGAGAAAGTTCATCATTTATACTCATTTTTTTGACAACATTCTGGTCCTCAGATCATCATCAGGTAAAACTATTTAGCTGATGAACATCAGGCAAACCAGCAAGTATGTTTTTCTCAGAAGAAATATACAGCACAGAGTTTAAAATGTACATCAAGTCCTCATTAGTTGAAGTAAACTGGCTAAATGTGTTCGGTCCTTTAAAATGTGATGATATTTTTTGATGCCATCGCCTTGTGTGTATAGTTTGTGGAATATCTGCTGTGATATGGAAGTGATTCAAAACAATCTTTGACAAGTCATAGAACCGACAGTAAATAGTCAAGCAAGATGCATGCAGTTCAGTAGTAGATAAGTTTAACCCCACAAACGATGACATGTTCTGGTAAGCTGAGATGGAGAACAACAAGTACTTGGACCATGACTGAACACAGATGTTTCTGCCATCAGCAGCCTCCAGGGTTGGTTTCTAACATCTGGTTCTGCTTTAGATTCAGTTTCCAGTCAGCAAAATATTGGATTTAATCAGGCTTTGACACTTATCGCTTTGTTTTCAAATCTTTCATGTCTGTTAATTATTTTTTGGTAGTGAAGTATTGAAAACATGCAGATAACATTCGCAGGCTTCTGTGTAAAGCTGCGTTCTCTGATTAAAATGACTGACATCAGCGGCGGTGAAAGCTAAACTCACTGACTTCTGATGGAAGGAATTGATGCTGAATTCAATTTAAAGTGCCATCAAACCCCAACTGTAGCAGCTACACCAGGTTTCCCAGTCATGTGGTCTGAGTGTGGTGCATCTCCTCTAAACCAGAAAGTCACTGAAGGTCAGATGCTGGAGGAGGGTTCAGAGCAGTTGGTTAAGCCTCCAGCGACAGATGGACAGAATAAACTGCACAGTGACAGTGTCAAGAAGCAGCTTGCCACCAGAGCTCAGCTTTTAAAGGGCTCACTAAGACATTGACCTCAGCACTGGGTAAGAGATACTGTACGCTTACAGAGCTGGGACAGACAGAGGATTGTCCTGACACAGTAACGTCCTTCGGTACGCCGACACTGTAAAAAACAAATATCAGAAAACAATAAAACAAACAAAAAAAATGATTGAAAATCTGGCAACCAGGGTGTAAGAAAAAAACAACAACATTGTAACATAGCAGCATAAAAATGAAAAAAACTACTGTAAAAATAATGGCAAACATATGTGAAGCAATCCTTATTTCTAACTATTATCAAATATAATTATAATTTCTTTAAATACAGTGAGATTGTGATTTTTATTTGTAGAAATACAGATATTTGGTGTGAACATTACTTACAGCTTTGTTTTGTTTTCCTGTGATTTTACTCGCTATTATCTGCAATTTAACAAAACGGGGAAATCTATAAAACAAGTTTGAAGGTGGCTCGGTGGTTAGCATCGTTGCCTCACAGCAAGCAGGTCGCCGGTTCACATCCCGGTGAGGACACCTGGGATCTTTCAGCGTGGAGTCTCCATGTTCTCCCTGTGCAGCGTGGGTTCTCTCCGGGTTCTCCAGCTTCCTCCCACTCAGTTCAAAAACATGTTGAGGTTAATTGGTGATTCTAAATTATCCGTAGGTGTGAATGTGAGTGTGCTTGGTTGTCTGTCTCTAAGTCTGTCTCCAGCCCCCCATGACCCTAGTGAGGATTAAGTGGTGTATAGATAACGGATGGATGGAAGTTTCAGAGGTTATTTACTGCTTTTCAATACAGTTTTTTTTTCAGATAACAGCAAATATCTGTAACATAAATTGTTTTTTAATTGCTGTTATAAATGCAGTTTAAAGTAGTGTAAATTTAGCATCAAATGTTGCAAAAGAACAAATTGTGATTTATAAAAATTCAGATTTTTGATATGGATTTACCATTCAGCACATTCTTTTTTTTTTTTTACATTTGCCATTTAAAATAGTGTCTTTTTTCCCCTGTGAATTTACTAATTATTTCTGTACTTCTAAAAAACTGGGGAAAATATCTGTAAAATAACAGTAAGCTGTAAAAAAGGTTTATTTTTTTCCCCCAGTGTAGGATTGCGTTTATATTGGATATGCTGCCATAGAGGGGGGACAACTGACGGCAGATGATCATGGATAGTGTAGTTTTTAGGACTGTAAAACTAGTCAGTCCAACCCAGTTAAATTAAATTGGACCAAATAAGTTGGATGAACACTAACAAATTACATTGACTTGATAAGCATAGTAGGTTGAACCAACTCAGTGTACTTGGCACCATAACTTATTTCTGAGGGTTGGATGTGATGTAGTTTAATCAGGTTTACAAACACTGATGAGTTCATTCTGCTGCCCTTTGTTTAAAAATGACCTCTGGGTGGAAACTTTTCATGGATTCAAAGCTCTACTGAATCAACCATCTCACAGTGTGCATCCTGATGAAGCAAAAAGGAAACACAGACGAGTCATTTATTGGGCTATGACTACAATCTGCACACCATCAACTAGACTGGCCTCCTGACTGCTGCTTATACCGCCTCAGTCTTGATGTGCATCTAGCAGCTGTGTGGCCAGTTCATGCTTTATTTATGAAACCTTGGCATTTATGTAGGATAATGAACGTGTCTGCTCTCCCATTAGGGATAACGAACGCTGTCTCTGGCCATTGGTTTGAGGTCCTCTTTGTTGTTATATTTCCAGTGTGAGTGCAGCTCTGTTGTTTTGAGCCTCAGACTACCAGGTTTCCTTGTGTTCGCATTTATTTTGGTCACAATTCTGCGTAGCATCTGATAATGACAGGATAAAGGATGGAAGTAATTTAGAGCTGCAACAATTAGTTGTTTAATTAGTCAGTTTTTGGACAGAAAATTAATCAGGAACTACTCATAAATGAATAATTTGCTGGTTTCAGATGCTTAAATGTAAAGATTTGATGCTTTTCTTTGTCATCATTCAGGTGAATCTGAACTTTCGACTCTGTCACACAAAACACGACACTTGTGATGTCAGAAATGATGAGTTTTTGATATTTTCTAAACAAAACAGTTAGGAAATGATCGATAGATTAATCAGTCATGAAAATAATGGCCAGTTGCAGTGCTACAACATATTTTTCTATAAATTCATGTCACTTTCGTTGTTTGGGGGTTTTTAATTATCATCGTGAGCTGCCTTTAAATCAAGTGGTAGTCCAGCACTGCAAGCTCCTTTACTGCCCAGGGAAAGCAGCACAGCGCTGAAGGCAAAATAGTGCTTTTTTTTTTTTTTTTAAAGGGAAGGTAAAAATTTATTATTGTCATACCTCATATGAGAAGAGAAAGCAATATGTGCTTAACTTTTCTGTAGATGGAGGTAGAATAGTAGCTACACTGTACCAGGAGTAATAAAAATCTATGATTGATTGCACTTTTATCAACTTAAAATTAGTTTGAGCTGCCGAAATATGTATCCCTACCTGATGTCGTGAAGTTTAACACATAAAACCTTTTTTATTAAAGTCGGCCTCGATGTGTCCAGTAACCCTGGAGAAGGAAAGTCACTGTATGTGGAGTAGGACTGCCTGGGGTGGCTGCTGGTTTGGACTGGAAACAAACCGCAAACCACTGAATGACAAACAGAAATCTGAAGGGTTGCTGTTACCTGTCGCCTCATTTACAGCTTTTGCTTTCATCTCAATGTGTGATTTAGTGAGACAGGAATGTCACTCATTTCTAAAACCACTTTTTGTGAGAGATGGCTGCTGTTGTCAGGCTACACTAGCAGGAAGAAGGTGGACTTAGATAACCTTACATCCTGGAGGAGAATGTGGTCATGTTGCATTTACATTTGGGTAAAATCACATCAGAGATAATTTGCAAATGAACCCGACCGCTTGGGCCTCATTTTGATCACAAGAAGCTCTGAGTTCATGAACACCTTTTAATTCTTTGCACATCCTTTCTTGTCCAGATGTGACTGACTGACAACTCCTGTAACTCGCCTCACTGCACTTTTCTTTTAACAATTTTGGAACAGGACCGATCTGTTGTCATAGCTGATGGGAATTACAACTAACAGACTTACATTTTGTCTCTATGAGTTGGCTTAAACTTTAAATCAAGATGGACTAGAAAGTGTTAAGTTTTAAATGGTCTGCATCTTCAACATTACATCAACTCATTATTAAATATCGCCTATTGTTAGTTTCACTGCTTTTTAAATAGTGTATCTCTCACATTGTGTGAACTTTTGCTGATCTGATGTCCCCAATGACCCCTCTGTTGACTTTTTTGATGAGGAAATATAAAAGAAAAAGTCATGATTTACAGTCTAATAGTTCCCAATCTGTCTGTGAGGCCACATATTCAACAAATAATAGCATAAATTAATGTCACTACTAATATGACTACTAATAAATGAAAACATGCAAATTATTAAAAAAAATATAAACGATGAAACAAATGATAGAAACATGAACAATGAACACATATAGATCACTGTTTCCCACTGAAATATGAGCAAATCGTCCAGTAGCAACTGGGCAGTTTAGTGCTTGGCAAGGGACCACCGACCAGCTGGAAATCCATGTTTACTCTGAGTTTACACTGCAGTACCACGTGTCTGTCTGTCTGTCTGTCTGTCTGTCTGCTGCACTGTGAAAAAGCTGCCTTTGCCTTTTACTTTGCTTGTAGAATCACCGCAATGATTTTTTGGTCCCGTGGAGAAACAATTCTATAGATCCGTAAATAATTATCATTTAAGTTTCACTGGAGTTTGGAGAAACCATTTTAAAGAGTCAATCACAGACAAAGAGAGATGAAGATAAACTCAACTCTTGTCTTTTTGTGTTTCAGTCTGGCCTCATCATGGCGTGTTACCATGGCTACATCGACGTGGTCATCGCCCTCTCTCAGTGTCCGTACCTGGATGTTAACTGGCAGGACAACGAGGGAAACACCGCTCTCATTACTGCAGCACAAGCAGGTAAACGCACCTCAGACATTTGAACTGAATCTCAATATTTTCGAGATATTTTTAAAACTTGCATTGTGATAGCTATCACAGTCAGATGAAACAATGATGGAGAAATCAAGTTTTTTACCTTGTCATCATATCCATATTGTGGTTTTTTATATGCTGGAGGATGCATCATAAGTGAAATAAGCAGTCGACACCATAGCTTAGTGTTTCCAATGACCATCTGTTGTGCAGCGTTGATACGCAGAGATGAGTGATTTGGGGTTTAATCAACAGCCAGAGAGGGACTTTAATATCAGAGGCTTTGTTATTGGTTATTTGTAGGACTTCTTCCTCCTTCTAATGATACTTCCAGGACAATAATTTCTTAACATTTTAAGACCTATACTCACACACTTTATTTCTAAGAATGAGCCGATGCCACTGTTATTTATGAATGGTGAAAATAAGCTAACCAGTGGCTAATTTAGCTTAGCGCAAAGACTGGAAAACAGCTAGCCTGTCTTTCTGAAAAGGCAACAAACTCCAGCTACAAGCTCATCTAAGGTGCACCAAATAATATGTAATAATAAAGTGTAAAAACGACAATTCAAAGTTTTATAGCAGTTTATGTGCCTTTTTAGGTGGGTTTTATGACCTTTGGACAAAGCCAGACTTGCTGTTTCCCATCTCCAGTCTGTGCTAAGCTAGCTGTACGCTACAAGTAGCTTCAGATTTACTGTACGAAAGACTAATTAGCCAAACGAATTGAAAACACTTGTGTAAGTGTGCATACAAGAAGTAGGGACCATATAGACTTCTATACAATCAAACTCATTTTTGCAACCAGAGGAGTCGCCCCCTGCTGGCTGTTCACGTTTTACACCTGGTGGCTAGCTTCAAAATGTATATACAGCCTACGGTCACAAATCATTCTCGTTAATTCAAGAAAAATAACCTATTTTATTAATTATTGCGTCATTAATTAGTGAGGACAGAAAATCGTTTCTCTACGTAAGTTTGAATATTTCATGATGACTACTTTATATCTTTTAATAAGGTTTTATTTCATCCCTTCATCTTTCTTCTTTACCAAGTTCACACACAATCTTTTGGCATTTTTAGGCCCCAGACCAGCAATACTTTACAATACTTTTATGATCCTTTTATATATTTATCACAATATTACTTTACAATACCATTTAAAATATTACCAAAAAATCTCTTATTCAGTTAAATTTGTCTCCAGTAAAGTATTCAGCCTTAAAAGTGAAGAATTATTTCACTCTTGTCCACATAATGAGACGTTTTACGGCTACAGCTGTGGAAGGAAAAGTGAGACAAGTAGATATAGTTAGTTAATGTTCAATAATTGACATTAGTCTGCTGATTTTGTGACTTTTCTCCAACTTGTGCTACTTTTACCAAGAGTCATGACTTTTATTTTCTGCTTCTGAACTTAAATGAGGCTAGAGAGACATCAAGACTTAAAGTATGAAAACAGAAGAACTTGTATACTCATTCAATTCCAGGCTGCCTAATTTCATTCAGGTGAAATGAGAACATTACACCTGTGTCCCAATATATGCATCCATACGGCCATAAATAGATTCGACTTTCATCTGATCTGTCTTTATTTTCTTCATTTCTTCTGATATATAATTTACAGTTGAGGAAATTTCCCTGCATAGACCTGAGTCAGAGACGTTTATAATGGGCCCAAATTAAAGCTCATGGCACATTATGAGGTCTGGTGCGTCCAATTGCAAGAATCACTGTTATTTGCCGGCATAAGAAAGTACCATGATAAGTAATTTCATCGTGATGCAGCCACATGTATCAGACATGGCGCCCCGGCCTCTCGTCTGCTAACGATGATGAATGGCTCACTGTGGCCCGTGATGAATAGCTGCAGACTGCTCTTCATTTTCTGCTTCATTAAAAGAAGTATCGATCCCCTTTCACGAGAAAATACTCTGCAGCACCTCGGGGGAAACAGGTGACAAAGACTGTGAGTCCACAGCGCCGCAGCACACAACAACGCAAGCTGAAAAGCTTTTCCTAAAAACCTCCTGCTGTAGGTAGAAGGTGTCTAGACGTAGTTTGGGAGTTAAGGCCAGATCCAGGTCACGATCCAGCATTAAGCAGCCTCTTCACCCTTCTATTCAACATGCGTCTAGTTGCATCGCTTTAATTAATTCCTACATTGTGCTCACTTTAAAGAATTCCAGGAGGTCAGACTGTTTGATTAGTCTTGATTTAGACAGTATTTGCTCACTGAGGAACTAGACTGTGAATATTAAAGAGGCTTTGCTGAATGAAAAAGCTACAGTTTAATCCGCAGTTAATTATTTTTGAAAGCAGGTTGCAGCTTTGGCACAAAACTGTCGACTTGTGTTGACATGTAGAGAACTGTTGTGCATATATGTTTAATTTGTGTTCTTGAGTTACTAATTTGGGCATTAACAGACCATCATATAAAACAGTATTGTTGGAATAAAATATGGTTTAATAAGCAAACTTCTGTATTTAGTCACACATTTCCATACAAAAACAAAAGGCATGAAACCAAAGGTCCAACATTCATTTCTCATATTTCACTTGTTAGCCCCGATTCTTTAGTTGGAAGCCCAAGAACAAACGGGAGAAATCTGGAAATGATTCACATTTATCTTCTTGGGATGGGACTGCCCCGAGCAGAGGTTGGACTTGTACGCAGCCGAGTGTAATTGGCCAGTTACCAATGACGTGGATAGGCATACCTCGTTCACGCTCTGTCCACGTTCTGAAAAAGTGATAAGCATCATGTATGGATGTTACTGATACGGCATGTATCTAAAGCAACAATCCTAACTGATAGAATAGAGAAGTTTCAGTTGTCTCCTGGTCTGTAAACCAGTTCTAACCGGCCATGTTATCTTCAAGGACGTGCATTGTGCTCAGTAGAAGAAACAGGATCATAGGTTCAGTAGAGAAAGACAGATTCAGAATACATGATAGCTCAAAACATAGCTAATTATAACACACTGTACTAGAGTGTAGATCGGGTGTATGTGAGAAAATGCTAACGAAACCTGGTCAGTGTTTCTAAAACATGTCAGGTGTGTGAATGAAAAAGAACAAGAGCGTCTTCAATGTGATGACCTACAGAATGCACCAAAGAAAAAACAAAATGAGATTTCATTAATATGAGATCCAGATCTTAAGCAGACTAATGAGACAGGAAGTGGCAGCATATTGCCAGATGATTCTGGACTATTATTTTTTAATAGTTGGGTAAAATGAACTTGGAAGGACGGTTATAGTTTGGACTAGTTTTTCCAATATTATTGTGGCCGTTTTGTGTTAAGGAGATTTTCAAACTGTAAGACGTACTCAGAGGGAAGATGTAAAGTAAAGATAGTACATCAGTTAAAGGAAAAGGTACATGTGCTCTAAAGACAACAGGAGATGAGTTTTAGTGTCATTATAACTCAAATCTGAAGAGACCTGTTTTTAGATTCAGGGGGAATCATCAGGTTATTTTTAAAATTTATTTATTTTCTGAGTAACTGCAGTAAAGTACTGACAGTTTATAGTACATCTAATGGTATGTAGCAAGCAGGAACTGTTATCGATCCAGTTTTCTTTATTTTTCCCAAATTTTCTGCTAAAGCAATTATAGGCTAGAAAAGGTTCGTTTATCTTTTACTGAGTGTAACATTTTCTAAAGTACTTAGTTGGATAGTAACATTACTCAGTGACATTCATATCGTCCAGTGTCTCAAACAAAGGAGGAACACCTTTAAGCCTGTTTCTGCTAATTGATTAAACTCCTAAAAAGTCATCTCTGTGCATCAAAGTTACATATTTAGAAGCTTTTGTCCATGAAAATAATCCCCTGCTGCCTTCAAATGGCTTAGATGTAACTCTACACTGTTGCTTCCTTTAGAATGTGCAGATCTATTGAGTTTCTACGGAGCCCGTCTGGTGACATCGATAAGAAATAAAAAATAACTCGTTCCCACGCATTAGTAAATCGTAGGAACGACATAGTTAAATTGTGGCCTCGCATTACTAACATGAAGAAACAAGAGAAGTTGTGGAGCAAATTTCACAGTGCGGTCATACCAGCTGTCGATGAAGGATAACGGGCGGACTTGCATGAAACATGGAGCATTTTGATTTGATTTGATTTGATTTGAACCTTGGAATGAACTACACCGATATCCTGCGATCTCTTGCGATGAAACACCGTGTGATAGTTTTGTCGTTCCCACGCATTAATAACTCGTGGCCACGATTTACTGATGCGTGGGAACGAGTTATTTTTATTTCTTATCGATGTCACCAGGCGGGCTCCGTAAGTTTCGGCCTCCAGGTCTAAAAAGTTAAACCATCACAAGCGATGCCTTAAACCTGTATTAACAGCATTAGCCTCTAACAGCCAGCAGGGGGCGACTCCTCTGGTTGCAGGAAGAAGTCAGATTGTATCAAAGTCTGTTACAAAATGAACCGACTTCTTTCAAGATTTGTTACCTCAGTATATGGTTTGTTGGAGAGGACCGTCATTTTCGTACTATTGAGCGCACCTGAATATAAGCCGCACCCATTAACTTTAAAAAGAAAAAAAAACTTGGACATATATATATAGGCTATAATTACTTTGTCACACACTTCCTCAGTCTCTCTTTTGTTGACGCTCTCAATGTCACTTTCGTCTTGAGGAAAATTCGTAAAAAAAATCCATATATCAGCCGTATCATTGTTTAAGCTGCAGTGTTCAAAGCATGTGAAAAAAGGAGCGGCTTATAGTCCAGAAATGAAATGAAATGAATGAATGAAATGAAAAATACTTTATTTATCCCAGAAGGGAAATTCAATAAAATGACGGCAAGTTCTCCATTACTAGTTTCAAGACTATTTGAACACAGCATGATGTTTGTTTAGTAAATTCTTTTCACCTTTAGAGTACAATAGACGATACAATAAGGTATGACCAATGTATCACCATACGTAGCGTTCTCCAGTCAGATCCATCGCTCACTTGTTACACAGAGTTTCAAAAGACTAACATAGTGATGGCGTCAACATCCAAACTCGAGGCTTCAAAGCGGGAGTCCACAAATCAATGACTGATGTCACAGTTTTATTTACACTATACTTTTCCAACTTACTAATGGACACTGCAAGGCTACAGTCTGCGTAACTGTAGCAAAAACTTATTCAGCATGTTTTCATAGAAATGTCATATGATGGAAGTAAAGTGGAGGTGAAGTGTTTTTATATAGATTTTTTCAACAAAAGAGTGTCTGCTTGAAAGCAGAAAAGTATGGACGGACTGTATGTCTATAAAAGAAGAAGCTTTAGGTGCTAAACTGAAAGACGTGTGTGTTTGTCCTTGGTCTGCAGGTCATCTGTTCATCTCCAACTATCTGCTGAACTACTTCCCTGGTCTGGACATTGAGAGGAGGAACTGTCACGGTTTCACGGCGCTGATGAAGGCTGCCATGCAGGGCCGGGCTGAGTGTGTCAGAGCGCTAATGCTGGCAGGTTTGTACACATTTGTTCACATTTCATTCAGTGACATTTCATCAAGGAAGCAGACCAGCCACCCGGAGAGGAAACACGTGAACCTCGGCTTCTATCCTGCATCTGAGTAGTGCAGACAGCACAGTTACATGGTTACAAACACACAGAAATGCGTATATAGTCGCCTTAAATCGACAGGATCTGTTCTAGGAAATTAACTAAAAGTGAGGATGTTTTATAAAATAGTGCCACACCAGTTTTTTGTCAGGGCGGGTTTCGCCTGTGACGTATTGAGTGACGATAAAAACCTCCATCACTGATCTTCCCTCCACATCACAGCACCTCCATGTGTCTTTATGCTTCCAGGAGGTGATATCCAGGCACGGGACTACAGCCGCAGAATGACACCCAGGGAGTGGGCTCTCTTCACTGGTCGATACGAAACAGCCGCCCTGATGTATCGGCTGATGGCCAAACCCTGTGCTGAGCAGTTCTGTGACTCCTTCTCCTTGGAGTGGCCCATGCTGGAGGTTAATACGTTCCTCTGGACTTCAGTACTACCACTGAATACTTTGTCAAATTTCAAATTATGTTCTTTTTCATGTTGGTTCCTGTAAACTAAAACGTTTGATCTCCTCCAGGAGATGGTGACCCAGGCCCGAGAGCCGAAGTCCTGCTGGAGACGTTTGGTCAACTTCATCTCCTGCTGCCCTTATAGGTTTTACATCAACAACAAGGTGAACCCTGTGGACGATGGCGTTCTTGACCACATGGTCCGGATCACCACCGGTGTCTCCAGTCCGTTCATCGCCACCGGTTGCCGCACCGTCTGCCCGGGCAGCCCGCCGTGTGTTGGGAAGCGTCGTCACGCCGTGCAGGAGATCCTGAGGAGGCAACGGGTGGCCGACCTGAAGCGCTTGGGCCCAGACAGACTGAACAACTACAAGAGATTTTTCCAGAACTCGCGGGTCCTCCTCATCCCAAAGACAAGGGATCGGCGAGCCAGCCTGCAGCCTCAGCTGCTCAGCGAGGTGGCGGCGGCGTCCACGGTGGCCATAAGACGAGCCAGTCTCCTGCCGCTTAACATGCTGAGGAGAAGCAGCGTGCGGCCGGGCCTCGTGGTGCCCAAAGTGAGGCTCTGCAAGGCCCCGTCTCCAAATTTCATACCTGAAAAACTCAAAAGGAGCAGCAACCACAACAGCCTCCAGGTCCCCAAGTGGGATTACAAGATGAAGAGAATAGAGAAGAGGCAGGAGGAGGACAGGCAGAGACTGCTGCCTCTGAAAAAGAGGAGGTGAGGGGAAGGGGGAGGAAGACGGAGCAACACGACACGCTGCAGCTTCAAAAAGCTTCGGTTGTCTTGTTGAAAATCCCTCACATGGCTCCCACTCTGCACAGTGTTGCAGTCCTGGAAGTTATTCTGAATACGACTGCTAATTTGCTCCTTTGTTTGCTAGATTTTGTTGCCTTGTTTCTACTTGAATTCACACACTTCTTCTGTGTACGTTGTGATGCATTGTGGGAGAAAAACTCTACATACAGCGTACAAATTATGTACTGTGCTACCTTCTCTGGCATGTCGGCAGACGTACAAGTGCTAGGCTGTCAGAATTCTCAGACTGATTAGCCGACCTTTAAAGGTACCCTGTGGCAGACTCAGTTCTACGGAGGTAAATACATTTTGCACCTACAGTTGTCATTTAGTGGTAAGTGGAGACTCCCGCTGAGGGTTTTGTCTGGTTGATCTAACTATCGTGCAAAACTGTGTAAATTGAAATTATGCTGCACTTGGGCGCCTCCACTAAAGCCTGCTAATGCTGCTTATTGCCCAGATATCATCACATAGATATTCAAATAGGGTTGTAGAGGCTGAAGTCAAGACAGACCATGGACACCACAGTAACATTATCAGCATGAAAGTTGTTCTAAAGACTCCAGCCAAAGTTAGCAACCCAGCCGTCTTAATTTGAACCAGCTCACTCCTGGTACCGGACTCCCCCCGACAACTTGCCCCGCAACTTTAGCAAATACGAGACAACTTCAGTAAAGAAAAGCCTGTGCAGGTCTGTGTTAAATACCCAACTCATCCACACAGTGAGCTCTGTAGTTCAGGATTTAAAACCACAGAACGCTAGAATATTCCTGACAAAATGATGCCATATTTTGCCACGCTTGTTGAAGTTTCAAATCAAATCAAATGCTGAAGTTTGCCTGAGACATACCTTTGCTGTCACCACACCTTGACATATCGTTATGTGTATTTGCACATTACGCCACATGTGGCAAATATGAACTAAGCTAACAGTGTTCGGTGGATGACGATCACGTTGAGGTGTCTGCAAATGTTAGCAATTTTGCTCTGGATCTGGGCCACATGTAGCTGCATAGCACACGTTTATGAGTAGTTCCCTGTCTTGTTTGTATAAAGTACTCACTCGCAAAGATTCACATGGGCAGCAAGATTCATATTCCTGACAATGGTGAAAGGCAGCAACACAGGTAGAAACACTTGTGTTGCAGTTTATTTCAAGCATAACGAGCAGAAAAGAAGAAAACCAGATGAAAAGACAGAAATAGAGAAGGTAGAGATTACTGAAGGGCGGGAAATGGTTCAGAGAGAAAAAGACGAGAGTCCCCGCTGAGCTGAGAAAACGTAAAGGACATGTTGGGTAAAAGTTGCAGCACGGTGGAATCTGACAGTCAGATTTACTGGAGAGGAACTTAAAGAGGGCAAGTGGGCTTGAAGAGGCAGGAAGGTACGAGCCAGTCGGAGGGATTTTAACAGGACGGAGAGAAGAGCTCCGACACGGCCAAATGAAGATTGGTGGCTGGCTGCTGCAGCAGATTGCTGCAGGAAAAGGACCGCTGAGCACGCAGGAGGAAGCCAAGAAGCCATTTTGCACAAATACATAGTACAACAGGTATTTTCAGGGAGAGGAAGAGCTTATGAGCAGTATTTGACAGCTGAGCTGAGGAGCCAGCTCACACAGGCTTTGTAAAGGCTTTGTGGAGAATTTGAAAGGCAGAGCCAAAAATACACAGCTTAGTGCTCGACTGTGGCTTGTTGACTTCCCAAATAATCACAGGAGATAGTCTTCTGTCAGGGACTGCATGAGTCTGCTGCTCTGTGAGCGCTGGAGATGCTACGAAGGCCCTCATTAGCTCCTCTTGTGTGATTACATCCAGATTTGAATTTTGCATCGAAATATATAATAAAAGCATTTTAAAGTGTTTGCCTGATACAGATCCTGTGAATATGTCATTAAAATATGTCAGCAAGGAATCAAGTATCAGATATGGCACTTGTAGAGTGAAAACCTGCTCTGGGGAAGCTTCTAATTACAGAATGGAATATAACCCTTTTTATTTGCCCTCTAGTGGCAAACACTTAGAATTGCAAGAAGGCTGTTAAAGGTGCCCTTCAGGTGTGTTCAGATATGTATACCGGCTTTGAATGTCAGCTTGTGTCTTATATGGGGTTTTTTTTGTAAGGAAAATGTTCAGTTACCTGATATGAAGTTATTACAATGAGCCAGAACCTGTGAATGTGCAAATATTTTTTTGTAGCTGTTAAGTTTAACTACGAGACACAAGCTGTTTCCCACATTGGTGAAAGTCCACTCTGTGTTTGTGTGATGCAGACATCACGTTTGTCTGCAAACTACTGAGCGCACACCTGAAAGTTCCTCTCACAGTCAATTTTTTTTCATGAAAATAATCTCCTCCTACCTGCAGCTCAGCACACCAGCTCACCTAAAACAATATAAATCTGCTCTATGCTACACATGGTATTGTGTAATATTGGAGTAACTCAGCTGTACAAGTTTGAACCGGAAACTGAAATAGAATACTGGTAGAGGAAGTCCCACTCTGTAAGCTGACATTATTGGTTCCTGCGGTTTGTTAACTATGAAACCCTGGACGACTGAATCCATGTTTTTGAGCCTGTCAAGCCATGATATGTCTTCCAGCATGCACAAAATAACATATTAACATGTTCACAAGGGAAAACACACCGAAGGGGGTCTTTAAACTCAATTTTTAGGTGAGATCAGAGAAACTTTTCACAGAAAATTTGAGCACAGGTCGTAGAATGAATGTCAAAAAACAAAAGCCACATCTCGTTTATTTTATTTTTTTATTGGAAGGGAACTTTAAGTTTTGCCTGTCAGTGCTTGACCTTAAAAAGCTCATAGAGTAGCGCAGACACTGAATGGACTATATTTTGAGGTCTGGGTGTGAGCTGCTCAGCGCAGATTTATTGCAGTCATTTGCTGCTGTGAGGCAGGACAAATTCTGCTAACTGCCCCTTTAATATTTAATCTGCCATGTACTTTGGTAAAATGCAAATTGGAGCCAGTAAACCACGAAACACACAAGCGATGAATGAACGCTGCACTTCTATAACTCTGGTTTCACTGAGCTCTGGACTGTACTTACTGGACCGCCTCTCTCCAGCGATCTCTTTACATCTCTGCCAAAGTCTGGAACTCTGTGGGGAGACACAACAACTGTGGATCATCATATGTCATTTTGACCTGAAACAACACTTGAGGGGGATTTAAACTCAGCAGTGACTCAAACAGGAGCCACTTGGACTAAGTGCATTTCATTTACTAAATGCATCCCACTCGAAGGACAAGGAAACCCAAACCTACCTGCCAAAGTCATTCAACGCACTGCTGCTGACTCCTGATGAAAACACTGGAAATCATACTTGAATGTTGCCCTGTTTTGTACCTTCATGGACATTCGATTGTGTGTCACTGAGTATAACTTTCCTTTGATATATCTAAAAATACTGACGTGTTTTTGAGCAGGGATGTTCAGATCTGAGCTCCGTTAAAGGACTTGCGTGTCGGTTTCTTTGCTCGTCTTTCAGGGAGAAATTGTAAGAAGATGTTTTTGCATAAAGTTGCAATGAAGCCTCTAACTGTGTGAAGTGTGTGGTTTGTCATTACCCACAACTCAATTACAGCTGGTTGCAGTAAACTTGCTCGGAGGCTGCCCGGCTGAAAAATCACTTTAATATCACTGCAGCAGTTCGCCGTGTAGTCGTCCTTCCTCGCTGTGCAAATGTTCTCCTTGAAAATTGCCGTTAAGATAAAGAAAAATATTTGTTCTTATCACTCGGTGATGCAGTGACACTGATTGTAAAATCTGAAATCTGCACCATAAGTTCTGCTGGTAGAATCGTACAGTGAAGTGTTTTGCCGTGCTGGTAGAGAACTGCTCTGTGTGCTCAGACTCTGCTGAATCTTACTTGATGCCAACAGAAACATTTAGAAGCATCTGTCTTAGTAACCATAAGAACAGTGAACTTTCTCTGAGGTAAAACTTGCAGCCTCCAGAGTGCGTAACGTGCTGCGGTTTACCAGAGGAAAGAGACGCCCGCATCTCCTCTCTGGATCTGTGGCTGAAGCTTTGCTCTGCAGCTCCAGCGGCACATGTGAGGGAGAGAAACCTGAACCTCCAGCTTTTACAGATACAATCAGTGCCTGTGCTGTGGTGATCCATCTGCAGAGAGTCATGCAGAACAGGCCTCTGAGACTAAAATGGCCGCCACTCTGACCTGTGGTGCAGTTTCTCTGATGACCACCAGAGAGCGCTCAGGACCCTTTACAGGTCAGCATGCTGGAGCTGCATGCCGCGTCAAGATACAGGCAGGTAAAGGTGAAGACGGCCCCCGGGCACTCACCTGCACATGCACATGGTCCAGAGGTAGAGGTTATCTCATTGGATGACAAACAGCATCCTTCACATCATCCACTTTTATTCTGATAGTTCTTGTTCCTGCAGTGTCTGACGTGTGCTGATGAATTATACAGAGCAGCAAACTACGACTCCTGTGTTCAAGATTTCAAAGAGGCAGAGCAGTTAAAGGACCACTTTTTGGTGACTTGATCGTTAATATTGTGTAAATTAATCAACATGCAATTCCATTAATATGAAACTAAACACTGCTACTTATTTATTTTTGCAAAAATTATTTACTTTTAATTACTTATGTTCCTTTTTTTAAAATTAAAAAAACATGATGTCACTTGAGGGCGCCATATTAAAATGAGCTTTAAGCATGAGCTGGTTGTACGGTGGCCCATAGAGCTCAATGCGCTGTGATTTAAGGGAACTAAAAACACATAGTAATCAGTGAAAGGTCCATAATAAGTCGACCGTGTGACAGCAAAGCGAAGCAGTGAGAACCTTCTAAATGTAGCGCACAAGTAAACGAAAGGTGATTGTTTTTAGCTCGGTAGTTTTGTTTTGTTTGTCCATTGCTGAGCTCCCATGCAGGTCCTCCTGTCGGCTTCTTTAAACAAAGGTGCACGCAGACCATCATCAACCGTAGGTAATACAATGAATATGAATAAGTACCTCATGTGAACCCAATTCAAAGAACCTGAACCATCCCAGTGAAAGGCAAAAACGAGACGATTTATGTCTTGAGATGCTCATGTCTGTCTGTAGGGAATATTTATTTGATTGATAGGTTTCCTCAGGCTGGAAAGAACATTAAACCAGTTCATCGTTTTCTCTAAAAATGCCAAAATGTTCACGTTTGTTAACACTTGTGATGTTGTCACAAATTCTATACTGTTTCAAGACCCTGCTCATTTCCACCATGTCGGAGAGCATTTTAATACACTAGAAAATGAAAACACCTGATGCAGGAGTTCTTTAGTCAGTCGCGGGTCAAAGGTAAGTCATGGCTGAAACCAGAAGAAGATGCTGGTTTTCTACTGCTATTATGATCCATCACTGAGAGAGAGAGTTGTGCATAGTGGCTGCTCACAAATGAGGAAACGCTACAAAACCACATCCAAGTGCCAGCGACTACAGAGCAAAGCAGAATTAAGGAGTTCCTCACAGTGAAAAGTCTCAAAGAAAGCTGAACGTGACCTCCGCACTGCCAAGAATGGTAGCATGAGCAGCTAATAAGAGTCACCAAGACCGTCCTGGTAAATCTGAGCAGTTTCTGGTACCAACGACTCAAAGACAGTCATTACAGCAGACACTGAACAAGGCTGGTCTCCACGGACACCGGTTACCGGTTCAGTGGTTGGACGAGATGAAAATGGAGTTGTCTGGAGACAGGAAAAAGAAAGGAGAAGCATTTAACCCCAAGAAAACCAAAGTATGGTGGTAGGAATCTAATGCTTTGAGGGTGTTTCGGGCAGCTTCGTCAAAGAAGAGAGAAACTTGGCTCTGGACAGCAAGACAATGATCTGAACCCTAAAACCAAAGTGATGACGAAACAGGAAACATCAGAACTTAAATGGACGAAGACCAGAGTGATGGCAAAGAACAACCCAACATGAAAGAGATCGTCACAAAACAGAAGAGGTCCATCGTGTTTATGTCATTTCCAGCCAGAAGAAACCTTTTGGTTAAGTAAAAAAAAATGCTATATATCAAAATTGTCCTTGAATAATTTGGAGCTTATTTGTTAGCAACCAGCTAACCATCAGGACCAATGAGAAACTTTAAAACAGTCCTTCCTTGGAACTGAAGCACCACATGTGAATAAAACTACTCTGACTGAACAATGAAGCAACATTTTTACTGTAATGTGAATAGATTTTCAAACTGTACGAAATGAAGTAAAACAGCTGAGAAAGGAAGATTTCTAAGCAAGACGATACGATGTTTTGTGGTAACAACAAACATTCATTTTTTTCAGACACCAGAACAAACAACTCGCCAAATCAGAGGTTCTTCAATGGTCCGTTTATATTTTTTGGAGCAGTTGCAATCTGTTTGAGGCAATAGAAAGATTCACAATTCTTTTTTCAAAACACGTTTGGTCTAGCAACAAAAAGGTCACCGACGTTATATCTCCATACAGGTCTTATAATCAGGTATTTCTGCCTAAGGATCACAAGGACATACATAACGTTGTCAGTTTCCAGATGCTTACTAACAAATACAGTACGTCTGTTTTCCATTCAGTGTGGTTTTGTGGAGGGCAACAGTTGCATCATGAGTTGTTTTTCCAAGCATCGGAAGATGACCTCTAGGACTTCTAAACAGCAGTGGGTAGGGAGAACCAGGGTCTGTTGTCACCTCTTACAAATTAGCCTTTCTCGCTTAGAAAAGAAAAGAAAAGAAAAGAAAAAAAAAAATCGATTTCAGGTTGACGACAAAATACTCATGCGTTCATGGGTGCAAGTTTTGCTTCTTTTAGCACAGTGATACCAATTGTTAAGAGGACGAGGTGTGGGTCATGCATCGGAGACACGCTTCTTGTCGGTCGTGTGATTGAAAAATACAGAAATCTGATAACCGGAGGAGTGGAAGGGGCTGGTGGGCAAACGTTTTGTGCACAGATAAAATACAAACATGTTGGAAATACTTCTCACAGATGTAGCACCTTTTTTTTTTTTTGGACTGCTTCAGTGACAACGTGGATCCCTGGGCCCTGGTCTACTCTACTCCACATAGCAACAACATTACTACACAAAGTCGACAATTTTGTGTGTTGACCAGAAAAAAGAAAAAAAAATGTGAACAAAATTCCTACATGTAGCTGTTTTTTTTTTTTTTCTTTTACAAGTCTTTTTCCATAATGTTGCTGCTATAAGTGACATCCACATCTGCACATAAAAAGTATATATTTATATTTATATAATATATATCCGTACTCTATTAACAGTTTTGCCTACCATGAAGTTAGAATTGCCACCCATCTCTCAGAAAAGTTTGTCTTTTTTTTTTTTGTACTTCAAACATTGATTATTTTACAACACAGAAATCAACTAATTTTGTACAACTTTGGAGGAAGTGAGGCTCCGCCCGGTCACAGTCCCTCCGTGGGTTTTTCTTGTTGTTGTATTTTTTTTTTTCTTTTTTTACATTTTTTTTGCTTCCCAGTCTTGGTGCAGTTAGACAGTTTTCATCCCAGTAAAACACAGTTTAGAAAAACCAAAGCATTTACAAACTGGCATCGATAGAACCGCGAGGATGTTCAGCTGAAAACCTTCAGCTCAACTTGGACCCTTAAACGCACCCTCAACATCCCTCTGCAGCTGAGGGGAAGAAACCCTTTGTTTGGCACGGTTATATACACAATGAGCACAGGTCACTCGAAGGAAGGGCTCATGGGAACAAAAAAAACAAAACAAAAAGAAACGGGGGTGTTAATGTGGAAAGATGGCCACCAAAACACCAAAGCTAGCCTCAAAAACATGAGCGGAAAAAGGCTTGTCTGCTGTCTGTAGGGCAGTGAAAGGAGCACCGTGACCCAGCAGTTCACATCCAGTGTTTCACATCACATGTCCACATCATGAGTTTGGAAAGTCAGAGTGCAGTTACTGTGTGTTTAGAAGAGGGGGTAGGGTAGGGTAGGGTAGGGGGGGCAGTTAGTGAGGAAGTGAGGCTGACCCAGTGGCGAAAGGCCTGACATGACACAGAAAATAGTGCAATGTACAGTACACGATGCGTCTCGGCAAATGTACAGTGTACATCAAATACTATACAACCAGAATTAAAAAAGTAGAAACACAACGAAAGAAAAAAACAACAAAACAAACGAAAATAAAGAACTGTTACAAATGACCAAAAGTCCAGAAGCGCTCTTCGCCCAGAGGAGGATACGCCGAAGCCATAGAGAGAAACTAAAGTTTGTGTGACACGCGTCCTACATGTCCTACAGCTCTGCTTCTTGTGCTTCACATTACTAAAAGCCATGTTGCTATACCACATATTTACAGGTTTCTCCCGCGCATCTCTGACACATTCCCTCCATCCTCAGATCCACTCGTCCGTTCGTCTCTTTCATCGTCCTTCTCCATCCCGACACGTTTCCCTTTGCTTTCACCCTTTCTCCCTCATGTCCCGACTCTCTCTCCATCCTTTTACGTTCTGTATCCAGAGGCCTTCGGGGGGCCGGAGGTCTTTCTGTCTGCTGAACCTTCTCTACCAGTTGTTGATCACAAACTAAACACAGAAAGAAAATGTGTCAGTCGGTTTGGTTGGTGGTGTGCATGCACATGCTCCTCCGTCTGCTTCCGGTCCTCCTCCGTCCCCTCTCCCTCCTCCCTCTGAAAGGAGTCGAATGTCTTTCACATTTCCTCCTCGTTTCCGTCCTGCTTTCTATGATGCTACTCAGGAACTACAGGGGAGGATGAGGAGGGAGTGAAACTGTTCTCTCATCTTCTCTCGTTCCACTTTTACACTACAACCCCGTCACTGTCCTGTTTTCCTTCATCCATCCTCTCCTCCTCCTCCTCCTCTCCTCCTCCTCCTCCTCCAGCCTCGTCTCCCTTTAGACCCAGGAGTCTGGTGAGGCTGGATAGTGGCTGGTCTCGTAGTTGAGCTCGCTGTAGGGCCGCGAGGCCGAGTAGAAGTCTACATAGTTGCCGGTGGACTTGAGGCCCTGCAGGTGCATGTTGAGGTCACCCTGCGGGGGGCGCCCTCCCGCGTGAACCTGGTTCTCGTAGAAGGCCTGATCCTCGTAGGGGCCGCTGTCGGGCGGAGGTGGGTTTTGGAAAGGAGGGTAGGGCTCTGACGGCAAACCTTGAGAAGAAACCTGGAAAAAGAGCAAAAAAACATCACTGAGACAAAAGACTGATGGTGGCTCAGTCTGAAGTAGCAGGAAGTGAGGTCCATTTGCTGGACAGACCGTGAGAACAAAGCAAAAAATATCCACTGATCATGAGCAGAGAGCTGCAGACCAAAGGACGAACGCACAACACACTTCAACCATTTATAAATCATGAGCAGGTTACTTTAGAATTCTAATCAGTTATTCCTGACGCAGCCAAAACGCTAATGAATGAACGCTAAATTATTCAACAGCAAAAGTAAAAAACATTACATTACTTTTTGATTTGCTTTAGTTACAAAAGAAAACGTGTTTGCGACATTTGTGGCAAACTTGTGGTTATATTTTATGAGTTGCCACAAACCTAATCCACACATGAAAACATGAACTTGGTGCAACACAAGTCCAAAAGATTCACTGACCATCCAGCAGCTAGTGTTAGCATCGCTTCAGTGACTGCACACAGCTCTCAAAATAATAAAATCATAAAGTTCCAACATCAGCAAATCAGTGCAAATCAAATGACATGACTCCTAAATGTCGGCATACCGGTAGCTAATGTTAGCAAGCCAGCTAGCAGGAGTCACATTTTTCCTCTTTATGGCGACGCTAACTGCCCACCTTGAAATAATGAACTTAACTTATGTCGGCAGAAGTAAATGTGACATTTCACAAACATTTTTATGGAGCACCATATAATGTACACGTCTGCTAGCACTAGCTAGCATGACACAAGGTATTCCGGTGATTTATAGCAGCTTGTGGCTGTAGTAATGCTAACCCCGACTAGAGCTCTGCACAGGCACAAAAACTGACTGTATCTGCTAAATCTGAGACAAGAAACTGACCTAAACCGATAGTTTGACTTAATTTCCTCTACTTTTGGTGGCTAGCTTACTCTGTTTCTTTCTCCATCTATGCAAGACACACGGGCACAGATGTGAGAGAAATAAAAACATTTTGTGATAAATCATATCTAAAAAAGTCCAGATCTGGTTCTTCGTGCAACACAACCCTCAGCAGAACTCTGACCAGAATACTAGTAGTATTCCCGAGTAGTAGTCCCGTAGGTAGAGAGAAATAAGAAATGTGTGTGTCTATAGACTATATTTAAAAGATGGCAATCACAAATGTTTTCTGTGATATTAAGCCGTGTGAGAAGTCGGATCAATTTCATGTGGACTTCTTTACAGACTCCTTTATTTGCAACCAGAGGAGTCGCCCTGATGGCTGTTAGACAGAATGCAGCTTTAAGTGCTTCAGCATTTATTTTTTCAGAGCCAGAGGATACATCCATCCTTTATATATATATATATATGTGTGTGTTGGTAATGTTAGCACTCAGGCTGTTTGCCTGGTAAATGTACCAGACAGTGGGGTTAATGCAAATATACTGAAGTGCAAACATGCATGCAATTACTGGCTGAGATGTGTAATAAAAGCTTTGTAACCACATGATGAGAGCTGAAATAAATTTTCCAACTTCTCAGGTGTTAATATTTGATGTTTTTCTTAATCCCACTAAATAAACAATGAGTGACAAACAGTTCAATCTCAGACTGCAATAAACATTTCCATTTGAACTTTCACTTTCAAATTCGTTAATCAATAAATAAAACAAAAACAACATTTGTTTCTAATGTGACAGAGAGAGGTGTTTTTGGCCGAGCCAGAGAGAACGACAGAAATCTCCTGATGTACTGCCGTAATGCCTAAATGGGCTCTACACAGGTTTATTGTTTTATACGTTTATCGTGACCTTTCAGGATTCCACAGCATCTTTATGGCTTCACTATTAAAACACACGTTGCTGAGACATTTCGTCTGCATCCACGACTTGATGTCGGGCTACAAAGCTACACAGCAGATCTTTCTATTAAAGGTGAGATGAGTCACAAAGACTTGAAAGGAGTTTAAAGCGTTCACAGACAGCGAAGAAACCGTCTTCTCCTCTGTCAGATGTTGAGTGTTGTGGGTGTTCAAATGGTGTTCCCTCAGAGAACCGGGCTCCTTAAACTATCTAGTTCAGATGTGATCCCTAACATGGCCTTGATGTTCTCACTCCCCCCTCCTCTCTGTTTGCGTGTTTCCTTGTTTTGATTCATGCTTTTTTTCTGCCAATGGGTATTTAAATTAAAGCTACGAGTAGCAATCAGGGAGGTGCCACTGAAGTTTCTGTTAGTGCTCAATAACACCAGATCATGTAATGTAAGAGTGGAAATGCTTCAGACAGAAAATGTTTTTGTACCTGATTATACTTCAGGTCATCAGTGGGGGACACATACGCTCCTCTGTGTAGTGTTGAAGACCCACCGGAGATTTGACCTGCAGAGGAAGAGAGGATTAAAACCGTTTATTAAAGGCAATCAGAGCACGCTGTCAGTAGGATCAGCCGGACACTTTAACTGCGACAAAACTTTCCTAAAGATTAACAATGAAGAGGATGAGGTTTGAAGAGGTTGTTTCATCTTAAATCACCAGAGGCCTTCTGCTCCATCGTCTCGAAACTTTTTAAAAAAAATCATAAACTCTGGATGTTTAAATTGGGATCTGTGAAATTTTAAACTTTCTGACACTTAAAAAAATAAAATAAAATTACCCATCTACTAACTTTCTGCATGTTTGTTTGCCCATTTGAATTTAAGGCAATGTTTGACTGAACTATTAAAGATAAAAGCCCAGAATTCCACTGTGATTTCTCATCATAACATTGATTCAGAATCTGCAGAATTAGACAAGTAGATCAAATAATCTCTGATGTAAAAAATGAAACCTATCATTAAAAGTTCCATCTTTGAGCACACATTAACAACAAACGGATAATGCAGAAGTCTGTTTGTGATATTTTCTGAACCACGTGTAGCTGCATGTCACAATAATACAATACAAATCATACAGAATGCTTTTTAATAACAAATATGTCATCACAAAAGTGAAAAAGGTCATTTTTGTTCAACTTTTATACCCGATTGAGCAGGTATGATAAGCTGTACCACAAAAACAGATCAAAGTATTACAATGTTCTGGAGTTTTAAGTCTCATAATGTTAATACAACCAAGAAAACACATATCCTATTTTAATAATGGCTTATTTTTCATTTTCAGAGCCCACTTTGTAGGCAGAAACCTTGGTTTGGAGCAGTGTAGTGCAATATCTTCTGGAATTATCACTCCTCCCGAGGTGTTAAGTTCACCTAATTAGAACTTTAAATGCTTCTGGGAAACAAAACGTAACGTGTAATAGGCTGTAAATGCATCTGGCTTGCTCATAATGCAGACGCCAATGTAGCCATGTGCTGTTTTCTCTTTCATGGCTCCACAGATTCATACATGGAGTCAATCAGTTCTGACGTCCTCTCTCTGTGTGTTGCAGCCATTTCAGTAACTGTTGTTAACCATTTATTAACCTCAACATGAGCCGCTCTCATTCAGCTATTGTTTGAAGCACAAAGAAACTCAATGCAGTTGCACAGAAACAGCAAACTAGCATTGTTTTAGTGTGTAGCTGCTGAATGATGACCAGCGTATAAGTATGAATGCCTTCAACTTCAACAATTTCCCCTGAGGTTTGCACCAAAGGGATCAATAAAGTTCTATTCTATTCTATTCTATTCTATTCTATTCTATTCTATTCTATTCTATTCTAACTTGTACAGGCTCTGTGTAGATTTAGTGCAGGAATATAAATCTTACCAGCATCTCTACAGCTCCCTTGTCATATTGTTATATATTGTTTAGATCTTATTTTAGTACTCGGCAAAACCCAAAGGAACCAGTGAAGACTAAAAGGTGCCGGTATGCAGATTTGTCTTTGTGCTAAGCTAAGCTAACCCTCCATTGGCTTCACATAAGAGCGGTCCTGATCCGCTCAACTGTCTCTTAGCAAGAAAACAAATCAGCCTCTTTCCCAAAACCTTGAAATATTCCTTTATTATCTGTAAGCTCACACTCACATTCTGTTGTTACCTCGACACATGAGGTGTGTGTGAGAGCGTATTTGTGTGACAGCCGTCCTACCTGTCATGGCGTCCTTCCGGGATGTGTGCTCGCCCTTGCTGCCATGGTAACTGGCATTGCCAGTCGACTCGTAGTCTGCCTTCCTCTCTTTCAACGCCATCATCTCTCTGGGGGACGCTGGAGCGCTTGCTGCACACACACACACACACACACACACGGGGAATATGTTTAACCTTCAATCCATCAACACATTATCAGCACGCATCAGGAGGAGGCTACAACAGGGAGGACGAGTATTCACACCTCACTGTAGTCCTTTCACAGCACAAATGCCAGAGCGATTTGGAAATTTCTACCTCTCTGAGTGTCTGCATTTACCTGTCTGACTCTCAACAAAGGCACGGCGCCCCGAGGACTGGCTGTATGTGTTATTATTTCCTCTAACCTGGAATGAGTTAAAACCGGAGGTGCAGGACGGAGTGCCGCTCTGTGGGTGTGTGCCATTCGTCTCAAGTCTTTAGCTTTTTGACCAAGGTGTGATTTCAAAGAGGTAAATACTGAGTCATCCCCCCTCTCTGCATCTGCTTTGCTCTCCTCTGTCTTCTCCTCGTCTCACCGTCTGACTGCAGGCCACTCCTACATGCACATATTTTCACTTCACTTCAACTCCCACAGGCCTATTAAGCCCTCTCGGTGTTACTCACCCGAAAATCTACTCGTCCTCAAGAGGGAGAAACACATCAGAGAGCATATACACAAAGCCATGGTTGGGAAAAAAAAACAAAACAAGATGCTGGACAAAGAGAGGGTGGTGGGATCAGTGACAATGAGTTAGATCTGGTGAGCCATGTTGGAGGAAACCTGGCAATTGATTCGGTGCCATATGGTTTCCTCTAATATACAAATCATTATCAACTGCCTTTCACATAGAAGCTGCTGCTGGCTACGATGCAGCCTGCCAGCCTGTTTTATGTGGCTGCATCTGTCACCCTGTGTCTCTTCTGTATGTTGTGATGCAGTTAGCATTGATCCATACGCTCATTAACGCTCCACTGATATCACCAGGCTATTGTATTATCGCCACCTAAACAGCAAACCGCCATCAGTCGGCCGCTGCTGCTCGAGACGCTCTCGTTCCCGAAACCTTTTACACGCAAACGAACACTTTCTTTCTTTTTTTTGAGTGTGTGAAAATGCAGAGAAATTAAACAAATGGCTTCACCGACCATCTGTGACTGCTTGCACACTTTTAAAATGAGAAACAAAACAAAACAAAAAAAAAAAGAAATGTGAAATTAGAGTCCAAATTGCAGTGTTTATCATCTCGCCAGTTTGTCAGCTGACAGGCTCATAAATCCACTTCAGGTGATTGTTTTTTTTTTGGTTGTTTTTTTTTAAATGTGAGTAGGGGGGGGCTACAGGAAACCTGTTCAAATAAATTCAAATTGGTTTGAATTATGCATTAGGAAGCAGTATGTGGATGCACTGTAGCTGTAGGGGAATGCTGGTTATTTGGTCAGTCCACCCACAGCTTTGGTCCTGAAATGAAATGAAAGAAAAGGAAGTTTGGCACCGAAAATCGTGGTTCGAGAATAAACCCCATTTTTCCTTTATACATTTATGATTTTAACATTTACTTTATTTGAGCTGATTTATTATAGGCTTCTTTTGGGGGGATTTTATGGCTTGTGCAGGTATAGATCCACAAGTGGGATGTTTGCCATCTACTGTTGTTTTTATTTAATTTTTTTAAAGAAGTACCCGCCCCACCTGAGCCACAGCCGTCCTGTGACAAGATTGGTGGTTCGATCCCCCGCCCCTCCACAGTCAAAGTGTTTTTGGGCAAGACACTGACGCCGAAGTTGCTCCCAGTGGCAGGCAGCACCTTGCATGGCAGCTCTGTTGCCATTGGTGTGTGAATGTGTGTGAATGGGTGAATAAGAAGTGCATTGTAAAGCTCTGGGTACCACTACGGTAGAAAAAAGTGCTATTTAACCGCAGACCATTTACCATTCTTCGAGTGCCACCAGCAGGTTCACCCCTTAGGCTCTTTGTGTTGACCTCTACACAACTACTGGATGGACTTTCATTCGCGCAACACTGCACAGCACTTTGTATGTGTTTTAGCTGCATATCCTCCAAGAAACCTGTTTTATTCAGCTCAAAAATTAGCTTAAGCCCATTAAATGGTAAAATATCCCCTCATATTTCATTCCAAGTGTATTTCCATTTGTTGTTAATCAAGGATGTGCTCACAGTGGACCCGAGGGCAATACAAATCCACTAATTGTGCATTTCTTATGGACTGCTTTTGCAAATTTATAAAAATTTGAATTGCCAGTGAGACACCGACCAGTTGCAGTTTACATCCGCGTCTGTCAGGCTCATATAACATAGTGAAGACTTTCAAGTGTGTCCTTGTATGTGCTTGTATGTCTGACAGACAAGTGCAAAACAAATGAATGGAAAATTCAAATAAAGAGTCATTTTGCACATCAAAATCTGAAACAATAAGCCAAATGTGAACAATAAAACATTTAAACTGAGGGACATTTATCTATTTGTGAAGTAACTGGGGGAAAAAAAAGAAGACAATGAAAGTTTCAAACCCATTTTTCACTCGATTCATTTTGATGTTTCAAATTAAAACCGGGACCACACAGACTGAGTCACGTTAATGCGAGAGCTGCAGCAGCACAAAGGAGAACGTTCACAGAGAGGAGTTACGAATGCACATTGTTACCAGCACTGTAACGCATTCATCACTTAATTAGCCAGCGTTGGGTTCCTAAAGGGAATCTCGTCTGTCTGTTCCACCGGTGGTTAAAAAGATGTATGCACAGCGACAAGAAGCGATGAGTGCTTGTCAGACAAACATTTATCCCGCAAACCGTGATTTGATTGGTTTAACTGTCGAGTTCTGCTTGAGTTTCGCGTCGCTGCCTGTGAGCGTTTACTCTGATAGAACAAGGTGGTTGACATATAATCGTACTAAAGTATGAGTATGTGAGTGTTATCAGCAAAGTACTCACTCTGCAAAACACTGTTCTGTCAGTTTCTGTTCAGGTAATGTTTTAGCAATATATGATTTTTAAAAATATTTCTGCTGTATTAAAGTGTACATTTTACTGCTGCAGATGTTAAAGGTTGGAATCATTTTTGTCACTCTTTGGGTAGTTTAATCTACAGTATTGTGTCATATTTAGCTTCAGAAGTAGGAGAATTTACATAAAGAAACACTTAAAATTTGGAGATACACACTGGATTTTCACTGGATGGGAAGTAAAAAACAAGAACCTCAGATTTGTTATAGCTGAGTAATGTATGCTGGTAGGCTCTTTACATTATATAAACGTGTGTTGTTTTAATCCAGCCCAAACCCAAGTCAAAACCAATAAACTTTACTTTTATTGGCATCCAGTGAAATGATGGGATTACCACCGCCGTCCCACCGCTACAGCAATAAGCAGCGTTATCATCCTATATTCTCACTGGAGTCCCTACACGGATTAAAAATGTGAACGTGTGTCCAGCTAAACACTTCATTTAACAGCTTGTCATCCACAACTTGTACATATTCAGAAAGCAGAAATTCTTGATGATGTGATAAATCTGATTTATCAGGGGGATTGAAACCGTAAGAAGCAGGGATGAACATCTGTCTCACTTATAAGGGTGATTAAATTAGGCTTCAGCAGCAGCAATCCTGTCACGTCTGAATGAAATCTTTGAAAAACCGGAGACCTGTGTCTGACTGAAGAAAAAAACCCATCAACAATGTTACATATAGAGTTTTTGAAAAGTTGAGTTCATGTTTCTGGGAATCTCCTGTGCTGATGTAACACTTTTTTAGCATTTTGCTCTTAGTACAAACACATGTGCTTGTCAGTAATCAGTCTTTTCTTTGGCTTCACTGTCAGAAGTACGTCTAAAACCAAAGTCTTCAAAGACGGCGAATCTCATCAGAAAAAGTCATCACCAGTTCAGAAACACTCAGGCCTTGGAAGGCTGATATTCGTCAACCCCCAACTTCAACAACGCAAGGGCGGAGAACTTTTTTAGAGCGGCCCAGTGCCAGGATTTCACTTGACAGCGGAATAATCCGTCAGTGGTCGCCGTTGTGTGAAGGTTAAAGCAGACTTGAGCTATGTCGGAGCGCTGTTTGTTTGACTGGACGCTGGTGTTGGAAAGAGTGATGGAGGACGTAAGGGGAGACAGCAGAGGGGGAGGTGTGGACTCACCTGATCGATTGTTAGGCGAGGTTCGTACGGGAGAGATGGACGGAGTGCGAGAGGAAGAATAAGGTCGCTGTCTGTCTCTCTCTATCGTGGAGGAGGAGCCGACAAAATGGTATTGAGAATAACCGTCCTGAGGGAGAGGAGGAGAAAAGGATGAGATATACTTGCCTTGTAACGGTATTATCTGTAATTACTCAGCTCGCAGGATTTATGCAGCCCGAGAACACGGTCTTTACCTTTTTGTAGAGGCTGCGTAGGTCTCTGTATTGCCACATGCTGTTCAGGACTTGAGATGCTGCTTTCACCACTTTAGGACTATGTCTGGGAATTCAGCAGAGAGGAAAGGAAAGCACACACAGTGTAAAGCTCGGCTGTCGTTTGCTCTGAAAACATCAAAATGCGGAATGAGAGGAAACAGACACGAAGCGGAGACGATAAAGCAGCATGTAAAGCATCGGCTCATCGCGGCCTCCAAAGACAACCAGAGACGCACGATGAAAATGTCATCTCCATCTTCTCAAACGTGCCTCTTTAATTGTTCCGAGACCAAACTGCGTAATTGTTTTTCTGATTGATTGATTGGCCAATATTTCAATCTGCTTCCTCCAGGGTTTGACTCAGCTGAGTAATGGCTGTAGCTTTAATTGGCTCATATGGCCTTATCAGTGCCGAGGAAATTAAACTTTATTTCTTCAAGACATTTTCAGTAAATGTTATTGTTTTGGATTCTGGCATAGCGTACCCAAGTCTCTGCAGTGAGTCAAAGCAGAGAACCTGTGAAACATATTTGATGAAGAACAAGAAAACTGAGGATTTTTTAAAACTTGAGTTTCTCTGTAAACAAATCTAATGAATAACAGATCACTAATTAATCTACAATTATTCAAAGAGCATAAGAGAAAATAACGCAGTATTTGGAAATCGAAGTAAAAACCAAGGCTGGCGTCTTCTATGTAGCTCTACAAAGCCAAAAAACAGAAACTACGCTGCATTAAAAAAAGAAAAACAAGGACCTGTTCTTGACATCCTTTTACTAATTTCTGTGAAAACACTTTTCAAATTTGCAGAAATTACAAACAAACATAAACAAAACAGCTCAAGCAAGAGAGCGGTGTCAAGTTAACTCCTTGAAATTCACCTTTTGTTCTGAAAAAGACTGAAAGTTTGGAGGCGCTTTATTCTTTGGATTCTTATGGTAAAAACAGTGTGCAGTGCGGCTCAACAAGTCTGTGCCCCTAAAGACAACAGAGGAGCTACTGCAGGTGATGCAGCACTCTTACTACAAAGTAAAGAACCATTGTCGTTGTGGTTCTGGTGTCTTTAAAAGGTTTATATCATCTGAATCATGAGGCTTTGTGCTTTCAAACGATGAAACGTTTAAATTAAAAAGAAAACTGAGCTGGTGAGAAAGTCACGACGAGTCTGAGCTCAAGATAAAATAACTCCCATTAACCCTAAACGGCAAAAATTCAAACAATAATCGTGTTTCCTGCCACTAAAATCTACTTAATAATGATTTTTCTGCAGTTGTTATGTGTAAATAAAGAGCCTGTCCGTGCTTCAGTTAGTTATTCCACATAATTAAATGAGGCAGGAACTAAATCTAATCATAACATCGAAAGAAATCACAGCCAAGCTGCTGCTGGCGAGCCTGGAAGATGTCGGCAACTCTACCAACTATCTGCAAGTGTTATATTGTACATTTATTTGCTTTGCTCTAAATGTTAGACAAAAAACACGGATCTATTTAATCACTACGAGCCCAATGAGTTGTGTTTATCTGCAGCCTGGTGTTTCCACTCTGTCTCTGTCCAACAACCCCGATGTTAAAACATGTAGGTGTGCAGGTAAACAGTCTGTGCAGAGAGCGCACAGGGAGCTAACTGGAGTTTGGATCCTATTTTCTGTTGACTGCTCTGACTGGTGACTCACGGCTCTAAAACAAGCACACAGCGTCTCTAAACCTTCACTCCTGCCTCACCCGTGTGTCTCCACCATATTCCAATCTGTTTTTTTTTCTCCCTTTTCAGCCCGACTGCCGGACTGATGGATTTGTCTACATCGCCCCTCTTGACCTGCCTCAACAATCAGCCTCTTTATCTTCATGCCTATATGCGCCCCGGCTCCACCTGTTTGTTCTGCGCTTCGCTAATGAACAAATAACCGACTGTATCCGAACAGCAGGCTGCCTGATTAGCATTGATATGCAGAGGTGGACGTCCCACAATCAGCATTTGGAGACGAGCGCTTTTAAATGCACATTAGCTCCGGTCCAGCTGTACGTTCTGTGGTGCGATAGTGAGGCGGAGAAGTGCTGAGCGATGTGATATTTTTCCCCAGCAGACATTCGCATGAGTTTAAATTTCAAGTAAATATAATCTGGATCGTCTCTGAGTTTTGTTTTTCATTATGATGCACCTGTGCTTCCTGCCTCGTCTTCCCATCGTGATCACATTTCACATATTGGTGGTCTAATATCACTTTAAAACATTTCCTAATGCTGCTTAAATACAATTTTCGTAGCGTTCCTTTGAGCAAAAAAGTGCTGATGCTTGTGTACAACACTGCCCCATGATGCTGATATTTAATATCCCCTCAGGGAGATTTCTTGCACAGCCAGCAGTAAATAAAAATCATCTTCAACAAACACTTCACACACAAAAAAAACCTCCCATAAAGTTACATCACGTTATTCAAAAGGCCAGCAGCACAACGGACAAACAAGCTCTTAAATCTATTGGTCCTGCAACTTGGCAGATTATATCTGTGACCAGATGGGAGCAATCTGAACTCGGCGAACAGGAGGTGACGAGGGGTCAGCGAGGATTGACTGGGGCTTCTTTGTGGCTCTGACTTTGTGCAGATGGAAGAGGTCGTTTAGATTTGTGCCTGCAGTTTGGCCGCCCGTGCTAACAGTCACTTCTCACCTGTCTGCGCTTTTCAAGGTAAGTCAGCCAAACCCGCATATAAAAGAGAAGGTTAGTACCGCCTCCACAAAATAGGAATACATCATGAAAGTGATGCTGAGAATCTAAACTTCTCAGCTCTGGATAATAACACAAGCACTGACGAACCTTTACAGAAACTACATCGGTGTTAATTATTGTCTCCAGACACTTGTACTGTTAAACATCCTGGCCAGGAAGTAGGGATCAGCTGATGTGGGTTTTTTTATTTTAGGTCCGATACCAATGCTGATTATTGGTACTCAAGAAAGAACTGATATTTGGAACCGACATACGTTAAATGTAATATTTAACAGCATGTGATAGCAGATGACCTGTCATTCATAACCAGGCTTCTTCATCATTAAGGGCGACTTTAACTGAATAGTAAAGCAGAAATAGGAGTGATTAAGTCAGAACGCTCTCCTCTTTTTCTGTGGGATCGACTGACATTGATCAGTTTGATTCCTGCTCTTCCATCACTTTTATCGCCCACTAAGGTCCAAATCTTAAAACATGATTAATTAGTGTTTTCCAGACTCTGTTTCAGGGTAATTTGTGGCTGCCTTCTAACTTAGCCGCTGGCCGTTAGCCACTGTGAGAGTCGCTAATTTCTTGGTTTGTAGTAACGGCTTGTGTTACTTGTTTAGATTTTGCAGTCTCTGCTTGAGAGACACTCTGAGGCCACAGAGTGACGGCAGACCGAGAGAGGAAGCTGTGCATTTAATTTATCAATAATGGGTTAATAAAAATACAGACACAGATAATTGAAAAATGCCAAACATCGGCCACAATAATCAGCCATAATCAGTCCATCCCTAGTAGGAAATATGAGGGGAGGGTTCTTCATTTCCTTCGTCCAAGAGGGACTGTTGGGACCAATCAGTGAATTCATCCACCGCTGGAGCATGTTTAGTTTCATCCTCACTGAGCAGAGACAACATGATCCTTTATGAACTTGATGATTTGTTTGCCCTCATAATGACACTGACATTTATCTATGAGACAAATAAAAGCGATGAGAGACGCAACCCCTCGGGGGGAAGCAGAGGAAGATAAAGGAAACCAGGCAGAAAAAGCTCCTGACTTTCACCTTTTTTTGGAAAACTTTCAACCTGCATCTAACTCCTCTTTGTTTACTCCCCCCTCCTCCGACCTGACAGCATCTCCCCATTCGGCTTACTTGTCTCCCTTGCTGCGGGCGATGCCGATGAGCTTCTCGATGCCGCCGGCGTCCCTCAGGGCTTTGGTGTTCTCCATGTTCTTGGTGATGACCTCGTGCAGCGCGCAGCAGATAGCCGTGATGGTGTCGTCCGACATGGTCTTCCCCACCAGCCCGCTGCTGTTGGCGCCTCCCCCGCCGCCGCCGCTGCTGTTGTTGTTGTTGCTGCCTCCGGGCAAACGGTGCACCAGGTCCCTCATGGCGTATTTACCTGTGGGCATAGTGGGTAAGAGTGACGGGGAATGTGGGGGTGGGAGTGGAAAAATGTAGACGGAGGGGTGGAAAGGAAAAGAAAAGAAGGTAGGAATGGGAGTGAAAGAAAGAAAGTTTGTTATGATCATTTTACTGTATATTGATGTGAAGACAACTTTACTAGCTTCTGGATACTTCTTATAAGTTTGGAAACCAGCAGTCTTGTCATGTCACTCTGCCCAGTCACATCTTTAAGTGTTCTTGCCCTTAGTTTGCTCCTAATTCAAGGTTGCTGGAAGTATGGATCAGTTTAATGAAACAGGGAAACATCACTGTAGAAATGTGTTGATATTGACTTGCAGTTGGGTGTGTGAACATTAGCATTTTTCTTTAAATCTGCCTCAACTCAGAAAATTTGGAAGCAAATTTTGGTCAAGCATACGACAATGGTGATGTGAAAAATGTACTAAGAACAGACTTTATGATGATGGAGCCAATTTTGAAATTAAGCTTCTCATGTGGAAGGATGCTGTAACATTATTCATATATTCTGCATTTTTAACCTCTGGAAACAAGGAGCAGAAATTGTTTTAGGAACTCAATTTGAAGACAAACCATACCCTACACTATTTATTATTCAAAGCTGGATATCTTTACAGTGACTTTCACACATATCTGGAGGCGATCTTTAGAATTCCAGATAACTTGCAGCAGAATGTGGCGAAGATCCTTTTAATACGTCTTTTCTTCCAACTTCCCTCATTAGTAGAAAAAGTTAGCAGCCTGTGAAGTTGAAGTATATGTCTTATAGGCTTTAGAACTTCATATCACACATTTTATTTGGCTGTAATCCTGCTTTCTGCCAAGACGCAGATGTAGAAACAGCTGTACGCTTGTAGAAAAAAAAAGAGGGAAATAATACATTTCTATTCCAAATATCTAAATACCCACGTCTATTTTATTAAATTTACATATTTATCGTACTCGCTGAGTGATTTTGATGAGGAATATAAAGCCTGTGGCCATTGGTGCACATCAAAGCCAACTTCTGATGCAACATTTGTTCTTTTTTCTACAACAAATCTCACAAAGGAGAGATCAAATGAGATCTACATTTCCAATATTTCATTTTCTTACCTAAAAATAAAGGCCTTTGAAAGCTGAAGCTCACTACTGTGGAGGTAGAAATACTGGGTGTCTGTCAGACACTGATGGAGACACGGCCACGTGATCTCACACACACACCGACTACATTTCCCATGACGCCCGAGTACTGCTGTCAGGAAATCTTGTCTGGTCTGCCCTCTGCCCCTCGTTCTGATTGGGTCATCGCCCCGGGGAGCGAGTGGAGGCGCATCATGACTCACTGACAGGTCGCATCCACCACATACGTATTGTCCTGCGGTGAAAATCCTGCCAGCGCTTTTACTAACACACTAGAATGAACTATGAAAGGCAAGAATAACACTATTATTAGAGGCGTGTGGTTTGTCTGATTACAGCATAACTGCCCGCTTGTTAGACTGAATAGGTCTGCAGAAGGCAACGGTGCCGCAAGACGTGGAAATGTAAAGACTCCAGACTAATGCTCCATATTGTACACACACAGGTTTCTTTGACTTTTTCTGCTTTAGCAATAAAAATGACATCGTTATCCCGACATGATCAAAGCAGCTCGCATGTAAACCGGACGATTACGCTGAGTTGTCAAACAGAGCTGAACCATGTAAACAGCTTAGTTTGATTATTTCTGTACACTCGCAGGATCAGCAGAATTGATTTTTATTTGATGGAGATGATGTAGTTTCAGCTTCCAGAGCATGACACCGATGAGCTCAAGAGAGAGTTTATACACTGTAAAACAAACAGTTTTTAATCTTCTTTTTGTATGTTTGACACTGTTTTTCTGCGGTTAAATTAGCAAAAAAATAAAAAGATTTTATATATATTTGCCGGCCGTTCTTTGAAAGAAATATTATTGATATTAAGGATTGAAAAATGGTATATAATATTTTATTGATGGTCCCTGTTTTGTTAAATTAGAGACAATATTTAGTAAAATCACTGAAAAAAGTAATAATTTACACGTTGACTGTATAACAACTGTTTATACATTAAAACGCTGTATTTTGACAAATAGTCATGTGTTTTTTTGACAACGTGTGACCATAAAATCACAGTTTTACTGCATTTAAATCAGCTAAAAATCTCATTATTTTATTGATATTTGCAGGTATTTTTTTCATTGTTCTCACAGTTTTTGAAAATTACAGTATTTCATCATTTTAAATGTATTTTTTCTTTCACTCTTGCTGCCAGATTTATTTTTTTTTTAATGTATTTAATTAATTTTTTTGTATCACTATTGTTATTATTATTCTTATTCTTATTCTTCTTCTTATTATTATTATTATTTACTCTGTAGCTGTTACTATTTTTATTTTCTCTCCTGTCCCCAGTTAGACTTTTACATATCCACAGTAATAATTCACATGATAATAAACATACGAATACTGAACGTTCAGCTCCTCATGACACCCTAACACTGCAGCAACAAAGCATCAGTGGGCTCAGACCCGTCAGTGTCTGCTGCCGACAGCTCAGAACACTCAACAACACAATAATAAGTGTTGAACACAATTTCATCATGTTAACACAACTGAGGGCAGGACAATATGTCCTATCAAAACATAACTGCACATAACTGTGCTGCCCCTTGGCAGCATGATAAATTAAAAAAATAATTTAAAAAATTGACATTCCAGCCTACATACGCTGCACACATGGATGCACTCGCAGAGTAAAACATCACACAGTTTAGCTCAAAGCCTCGAGCGTCAGACGGTAAGTGGAAGGAGGCATGCTGTTGTTGCTATGGGGACCAGCAGAAAAGCAGAGTTTATTACAGACATCACTCGGTCTCCGAAGGAAAAATTAGCGTCAAACGATCGTTCAGAGCGACGCTTCAGTCGGCTCAAAAAAAGAAAAAAAAAAACTACCTGCATATTTGCATGAATACACACCAATACTAGTCTTTTCTAAATTAAAGCCAAATTCACAAAGTCACCAACATGGCTACCAGCAGTAATCCTCCACACGAGTGGCATTTTAACAGCTCTGTTAAACATCCACTGGAACGAGTATCATACCGTGTATTATAGCAAGTGAGTAATTCTGCAAGTGGGTCAAGATAGCTGCTCTTGTTTTCAGTGCAATTATCTCTAATTAAGGCAGAATTAAGCGCATTAATCCACTAGTGTCAAGAAAATGGCACTCAAAGAAACAGTGTTGATCTGCTTTGAAAGTGATACTCCTCCCCACTGGAAGGCTGCTTTGTTTTTCCCTCTCATTTATGTATTGAGTCGTACAGGTGTCTGTGTTTGTATGAGTGAACTACTCACCGATGAGCTCCTTGTTCCTGATGTCCAGCGCCATGTTTCTGAGGGCGGTCGCCACGGCACACACCACCCGGTCGTTGTCTATCCTCAGCAGCTCCACCAGGATGGGGAGGCCCTTCTCTTTACGCACCGCGGCCCGGATGTAGACGGACCACTGGGAGGAAAGAGGTGGACAGAGATTTGGTGTTATTAGTATTCACGTACCGTCCGTCATCTCATTGTTTCTGATTCATTCTCTTAAGAGGCCCAAAATCTCAGCGGTTTTCAGTTCAAGTCTTTGTTTGTTGCTCAGGTGAGAAAGGTCTTAGGCTGAGCTCTGAGGTCAGGTGCTTTCCTTCTGTATCAGACTCCATCCAAAATTGATTTCTGTGACACACTTTGGTATCAGTCAGAGCAATATGTACAGGCTTTAATTGATGCTGCTCTGCTTTTAGATGACCAGTTTACTGCGATTTTCGCTGGACTTCACTGGTTACCAGCTGGTCTGAGAACTGATTCTAAGACGTCATGGCTTGTTTTTAAAGTCTTACTGACAAAAACCAACTTACATTTGTGATCTTTTAACTGCTTGTGAGCCTGAGTGCTGATATTGAATCTCAGGTGATCAGGCCTTGGCTGCTTGTGAGGATCTCAGACTGGAAACCTCCTGAAAACCGTCTTTTATGTTGAGGCCTTCTATCTGGTTTTATTGTGGTTATTTCACTTTGTTCTTTTTATATTCTTTATGATGCTGATCTGCTTGGTCGGTGTTTTTATCTTTTCACTGTCGTTATTTTATTTATTGTTCTTTTATATAGTTTGTCCACTTGGATCTATTATAACTTCCTTTCTTCTTTTGGAACCATGCTGTATAAATAAAGTTAATTACAACCATTTTATTTTACCATTATCCAGTACAAGCTATTTCTTATCACAGAGTGTTTGTGAAAAAGATATTTCAAATGATGACAATGTGTGTCATCTATCTGTGTGTCAGCATGTCCACTGCTTTGTTTTGTTTTACTATTGGATGGACTGACATTAAAGTTTCTACAGATAGTCATGGCTGACAGATGATAAATTCTAATAATTTGCTAATTTTTTACTCCAGTGTTGCTGTCAGATCAGCTTATGTACATTTACAGTGTAAAAATGTCAAAATATTAGATCACTTATATCTAAATGTCTTACTGGGACAGATATGGGGCATAAAGGTTAATTTTGAACTTTATATTTAGCATTTTGGTTTGGTTTTCCTTTTTCTTCACGCAAACAATACAAAATAAGTCAAGAAGATGTGATTCACTTCAACTTAGCAAGTGTACTAATGACCAACATCTCTGTTAAAAATGTATTTAAAATATATGAATTCCACATCCAAAGCAGCTTTTCTTATCTTCAGACAGTAATGCCATCTTTCAGGTGCCATTAAATGCGCTGATGTAGGAAAGTCGTGCACCAAACTGTTACTCAGGCATGAGGAGATTTTAAAGGGCCAGGAGGTGAGGCTTTGCTATTCTTCAGCATGAAATGAGCAGAATATTCGGGGCGCTGAGGCTTGTTATTTTGCATAATGCTGAGATTTATTATCACTTTCGGAGCACTTTCTAGCACCTACTGGAATTTCAAACCCCTCTTGCAGATGCCCTTTAGTATCACAATGACACAGCCACTGCACTGAGCTCTAACCTTCCAGCTGCCAGCAGCCAGGTTCTGCAGAGCCCCAGCTGCTCCCTCCAGGGTGTCTGGGTTGGAGCACTCAGACAGCAGTGTGAGGTAGGGCTTGACGATGGTGGGGTGCCATAACATCTGGATGCCTTTCGGGGGCTCCGCCAAGTCTGGAAACGGGCCGACGCCGTCCCACTGCGGAAGATGAGACATAATTCAGAAAAGAAAAAGCATTTTGGATTCTGTGTGAGGCGAGGCTTGACAGTGGTGGAGTGCCAGCTCGGTCCCCGCGGGCGAGAACAGGAAAAGGATAGAGGGAAGATTTACTATTCATAAGCGGCGTATAAATACGGTGGCATTCATCTATTTGGCCATTTTGTTTTTCTCCCTCCTCTGTAATTGAAATTTGACATTTACTCACAGACACACACACACACGGACACGTACTGTACATCAGGAAGAAGTGTGAAAATGTTGACTCTTGTGGAGATTTCTCTGTGACACTGCAGTTAGATTTATCCAGTGGTGGCAGCTTTTTGCATTTGTAATATACACTGTAGTTTCTTTGGGAGATAAATAAAACCATGTAACCCAGAGTACTGCAGACGAGGAGGAGCCGACATGACAAATGTTTGTGTTGCAAAATGATTCTGATCAAGTTGTTTTTAAAGCTGAGGTAGGCAGTTTATTTATTCATTTTTATTCTGTTATTTTGGCATCATTGGGCAAAACAATTCCATGCTTTAGAATATTGTTATCAAAGAGCTCTGAGAATCAACCAGACTTCTGAACCTCCTCTTGCCTCCGTTTTCAGGCTTTAGCTGGTGACGGGAGACTTCAGCCAATTATTGGTCATTTCACCGATCGCATCAGATTGGATCAATAGTGAAAACATTAGTGGAACGCTGTGGCACAAATGAATGTTGACTTTTAGTTTGAATATCATTTTGCATTTGTTTTTTGTCTTTTTTCTTCTTTGTTTTTTTTTTTTTTAATTCCTTTTTCAGATTTCTGCCTACTTCAGCTTTAAGTAATAAATAATGGTAGACCGCTGATCATTTATTCCATTTTTTCAAAGATTTATTTTTGGGCTTTTTCGGCCTTTAATGATAGGGACAGTGAAAGATAGACAGAGAAACGTGGGGAGAAGAGTCGGGGAATGACAGCAAATGAGCCGCTGGCTGGAATCAAACCCAGGCCGCTGTGTTGAGGATTATAGCCCCTGTACATGGGTCACCTGCCCTACCCGCTGAGCTATCCAGGCGCCATATTTATTCCATTTTTTTTGAGTTATTTGACACATTATTGGGCACATATTTACCATATTGTGTTAAATATTGACCCATTCCAAGCATTTTCTGTAGTTTAAAAGGTGTTGTTTAAACAACAAAGCCTTTAAGCTTTATCATTTAGCACATTATCATTTGCACATCCTGTATCTCTCTCATATTTTCTTGTAAATTTTGTTGACTTTCTTCTATATTATATTTTCTATATTTTTTTTTTATCTTACTTTACCTTCATTTTATACCCTATCCTAATATTCTGTGTTGTCTTTTTGCTTTGTTTACCTCCTTTGTTGATTAGTCATGCTGTTGTAATGCCTGGATTTCCCTCTGGGATTAATAAAGTCAGTCTAAGTCAAAGCTAACCTCTGTTTTGTTTGTCCAGTACTGCCATTACTGAATATTTATCACCAGTGAGGATTTTGACTTGTTCTCTGGAACATGCAGCTCTTGAGCTCCAGATCATGTTAGTGCACATTTACGAACCTTTGAAAACATTTTATCCAGTTTGTGAATCTAATGTTAGCTTGATCTGCTAACCAGCTAGAACAGTGAAAATCTGCTAGCAGAAAAAATAAAAATAAAAGGTTGCAGGTTGGGAAGCTGCTTTTCTCGCCATTGTCTGAAATCAGGGATCCACTGTTTCATTAAAGTGCACTGATTCATTTGTTGACTATGAAATTATTCACCAGCTATTTTGAGAACTGACTAACCGGATCATTTTTTAAAGTAATAAAGTCTGACGTCAGCTTCTTCAATGTAAATATTCTCTGATGTCCTTCCTCCTCTGTGACAGTCAATTAAATATTTTTCAAGTTCTGAACAAAAGCCGACATTTGAAGACATTTATTGGCATTTTTCCCCATTTTCTGACATTTAAAGACCAAACAACTGACTAATTGAGAATGTGATCATCACATGAACCAAATATGGACGTAGTTTTTAGTTGCAAACCAACTGTTTCAGAACTTCTAGAGAATTATAGGCAAATCTATCAGTATGCTATGAGGGAGAATGGACGGATAAACAGTTACCAATCATACAAAAGCAGTTCATGTTGCACTATGTTTTCCTTTGTTTAGCTATTTGTCTGTCGTCCTGGTTGTTTTGTGTACCGTATATAGCTCCTGTATGCTTCATACTTGTCACCATTATATAATATCAGTTTGTGTTTTTATAGAAAAGAATATCATCCTCCCTTCCTCCTGCCATGTGTAGCGACATAATCTGAGATGACATCTGTTAAGGCTGTGTAATATCGCCAACAAACTGCACTGACCAAAAAAATATATAAAAATGTTGTTTTCCTTTGCTTGTCTGTGTGCCTTTGACTTTATTATTGTACTGCTTCTTCTTTCCCCTGTCTACTCTCACTTCCTTCAGTATTTTTTAGATGTCTATATGTCCTCTCCTCTCCTCTCCTCTCCTCTCCTCTAATTACCCCACAGTTGATGGAGTTTTGCCCTCTCCAACAAGCTCCCCAATCGCTACTTCATGGTAATCGCCCACAGCTGCACTGGAGTGGAGACAGATAGATAGAAAGGAACGAGTGGGGGGTTACGTATTATTGTTTGGAGAGGGTATGATTCGTCCCTTTACAGTCTGATCTCAGAGTTAGTTTAAAGATCCCTCATCTCCCTGGTTCTGCCTGGATACACAGAAAGTTCGCTGAGGTTTAGCTCAGCAAATAGGAGTTAAAGGCCTGGCTCATTGCTACCACTTTTTAAAAATTCCTCTTTCTCAGCTTTTGCTCGGAATAACAGGGACAGAAAAAAAAAAAAAAAGCATGCAGGGCTAATGAGCTATTCACCCACCCTGATCCACCGGAAGTGTCGGGTTTTCAACCCTGCAGCTTCACTAGAAGTGGTAAAAGAAGTCTTCCACTCATCCCGAATGTGATGCTGATTGCTTATTAGCATGACAAGAGGTTGAAGCCTTCTCCAAGGCAGCCGTTTGGTTTCTGCCAATTCTTCAACTCAAAGAGCTCTCATTTTTTAACTAAACGGAGGATGAAACTCTGCCTGATGGCAACAGATGGACAGGCCCAGGACATGCAGGGACAAACGCTGCATCAGCTCGGTGTTTTTTGAGTCTGAGCACGGGTAGTAAGCTTGCAGAAACCCAAACCTAATCTGTAGGTAAAGCTATAATCTCCCGATGCTGCTGTGTAATAAGCTTGCAGCATGTGTTGATTGTGTTGCATTAAAGACACGCGGCTGTCTTCAAACGCGTAGCTGTGCATCGTGTTCATCACAGCGTCATCCTGCAGACGTGATCCCAAATAGTTCAGGTGAGAGGTGAATGTCAGCAGAGAAAAACAACTGAGGCTCAAACATCATGAATATCAAAGAAAGCTGTAGTGCATTCATAAATATTAATTTGCGACGAGAGATGGTGTGAACCGGGGATGAACCGAGCAAATGTTTTTGAACTGGAAACAACGCGGCGCTCTGAGATAGTCGTTCCCGCATTTGGAGGAAGACGGATATCTGCTCTTACACCGGGAAACCGTGAAAAGACGGAAGGTGGAGGAGGGTCTTAGCATGTATAAATACATTCTGTATTGTGTGATGAATCATGCAGTAAAAGGTGCTTTGAGGTCTGGTGCGGACGAATGTCAGGGAATACCAATGGAGAAGGTAACAGCGTTAAACAAACCATGACAAAACCCTCACGCATTACGCTCTTGGTGAATAAATGAAGAGTGTTATGTGGTCATTAAAATTCTATAATATGGCTGTGAAATGAAAGGGGAAGGAAAAAAAAGAGGGAGATAAAGAAGCAGTGGGGGGACAAAGATTGTAAGATAAGTCAACAGTCGAATCGCAAATTAAAAGCCACCAGGACGCCACAGAGCCCAGAGATACGAAAAACTTAATCTGGTACAGGCCTTTGATGAGATGCCCACTTCGACCAGATAACATAGCATCTGGTTCAGTCTTTTGACAATATCCAGTTTTTCCTCATGTGTTTGTATTGTTGTAGTTCAGGCCAGTCTTTCTGGTAAATTTTAGTCTTCTATTTGTCAGATATTTTTCATTTTAATTCCATTCCAAGACTCTCCTCAGTCATTTCAGCCTTTGTTCCCAAACTCTGCCGAGTCACGTTTCTAAGCAATCGTGAAGTGAATTTGAACCTAACTTTTAAAATACCTACAAAAAATAAATATGAATTGGGTTTATTTCCATTAACTGCTTTAGAGTGAATAAACGAGGCTGCATAGTGTCACTAGAAGGTGGAGGTATAGGCTACATGTGGCTGTAATAAAAGAAAACCAGTTGTTTCCCAGCTGCTAAAAAGCCCTAAAGAGGAAACAAACAAAACATTGGCCGTCGACGTGAGAAATAGAAATTACTGCTCCTTTAACATCATGCATTTGACGTTTCTTCAGATTTTCTTGTGGCAAGCAAACGCCGTTTTGGAAATACAGAGTAAAGACAAAATGACAAAAGGAAAAAACGTCTGATGGCAATATCGCGTCTTGGGTTACATATATGGGGGCGACTGTGGCTCAGGTGGTAGAGCGAGTCGGTCAGTGATCGATTCCGCCCTGTAACCTGTGTCATGGTCGTTGTGTCCTTGGGCGAGACACTTCACCCACTTAGCCTGGTGTGAATGCGTATGAATGGGTTGTTAGAGGTGGTGGTCGGAGGCAGAATGGCAGCCACGCCTCTGTCAGTCTGCCCCGGGGCAGCTGTGGCTACAATCGTAGCTACCACCACTGTGCACTGTGTGAATGAATAGTTGACACTGTTAGCCGTCTTTGAGTGTTAGAGAAGCGCTACATAAATCTGATCGATTACATATTGAGGGAAAAGCTAATACTTAAGTCAGAAAAATTGAGAACTTTTTCGTCATTAAAATGAAGTTGCAGGAGTTAAATAATTTAGGTACATCTTGCTACTCGTTAGCCTCACTTGGATGAACTTAATTCATTTATTTAAGAATCATTTAAGTTGGTCCTACAATTCTCTTTTACTGGACCACAGTGAAATAGTTAAATTTGCTGAAGGATTTGTTTCCCCTCATCACCAGGTGGGAAGCCTGCATCAATGTAAACCCCTGATGTTGACTAGCATCCTGTCACTTCTTCAGGTTTTCAGTCTGCATTCACACTGAATACAGAGAAACTTTTCCACCATGTTTTGTTTGTGCTCTCACTTCTGCAGTCCGGTTTTCTTTCACCGCAACTCTTAATCCACAGACATTTGCTCGGCGCAGCGAACTAACAACATCAGCCGACAGCATACCAATGCATGTGTTCAAAAGTTACCTACATGTTGTTGTTGTTGTTTTTTCCTCCAGACTCTCGCTGTTTTTCCATCCTGTCTCTGTTTGTTTGTGAAGCAGGGTCATTCAGGTTGGGATGCAAAGTTTTCACTCAAGTTTCTTTCTTTAGCTGGAATGTATAATGTCCAAATCCAACCTGCATCCACTTTTTGTTTTCCACTTTTTATAGCTTGTTTTTTTTTATTAGCACCTTAAGCATTGTACAACACGTCGACTTCACTGCAATATTCTAAGTTTTGGAATAAAAGTCTTGGTCCATGAATATATCTAAAGGAACTCAGGGGATATGTATGAATAAATAAATATTTCTATGCAAGCAAATGGAGCAGAGCAGCCTCCAGCTCCGACCAAACACACTCCATTAGCTGCATGGACCTTCATCAGAGGACTGTGCAGAGATAATAGCAAGAAAGGAATGCATCATATTAAATTTGATCCACCATGATAATCTACCATATTATTAGTTGTAGGGCTTTGTCTTACTTCCTGACCCATCGATATCACTCAATATACACGAGAGAAACAGGGAAAGGCTTCTTCTAAGTCCGTCTTCTCACCTGGTCGTGTCCCTTCTTTTTCTTCTTCTTCTTGCCCCAACATCCGGAGCTCTCCGCGTCCTTCCCGCCGGTGTCACATAGCAACCCGTCCAACTCCTCCGACCCCCCCTGCTGGCTGTGAGACGTCTCTGCGGCCAGACGGTACGACAAGTTCCTCAGGATGCACACACAGTTCTCGACAGTCTGAAGAAGGAAGAGAGAAAGTGAAGAACCGCAGACGACAACCAGAAAAACATACGCAGTCATACCGCTTTATGCACGCAGACGCTCGAAAGATACACAAACATTATAGTGGAGTGTAGACCGTATATAGCGTGAACGAACTCAGACACAGTCACACACACACACACATGCAGTGTGCATAATGCAGACAGACACACTAATCCTATTGTTGTGAGTGGCTATGCAGTCAACAGTCACAGACTTTGATCTTGTGAAGGATTTTTGCGGATTAAAAACTTCACATCTACTTGTGAAGAGTGCAACGCGACCGACTCGCACACGTACACAACCACACACACACAGTTAGACGCTCGCGCCCGTCGAACACACAACACACATGGATGCTCAGAGGCACATAAAAGCAAAGACACACTCTCGCTCGTGATGTTTCTGTGTCACTGGCCATCTGGGTTGAGTACTATATGGCACACTGTAAAAAATGACGAGAAAAGGAAAGCCAAGGATTTTCTTTTTTTTTTGTACAGACACTTATTAGCTTTGATCAAGTTTTTTTTTTAAATTGTTTTGACAAAATTGAAACTGTAGTCTGCTTTAGGATATCAGCTGATTAGGTATTCAGCTAGTGATACATATCTTATTCATGAGGAGTCTGTCTTTTTCAGCAGATTTAATGTTTTTTGCAGGAACAATAAAAAATTCTGATTGTAAGTCTCCTTTAAAAAAAAAAAAAAAGCTCGACACCACATGTACTTAGCAAGGTTTTACATTTTTACAGTGTTTTTTGAGGTCTCTAAGCTTCAGGCATTAACATTCAAACCACAGGCAAACAAATTAATATGCACATACAGCGTGAACATACAGTCTGTGAGGGAAACGATTAAACACATTTGCATATAACTCATGTAAATGTATGTGAATTATAAATTCTGATTGCAAAACAAAAATAACCACCTACATCTGAGTTCTTTGATGGCGACGTACACGATCACCATTGTGTGCAGGTGTGTGTGTGTTTTCTCACCAGGCGATTGTGTGTGTGTGTGTGTGTGCATCTTCCAGTTAGCTGTAAGCACACGCGAGCTCGTGTTACCTTGCTGTCAATCTCGCTGCTCCCCAGAGCGGTCTGGATGACGTAGAGCAGGGCGTCCGTCAGGCCCTCGCACTCCCTCATCCTCCTCCGAGCCTCCTCGCCTGCAGAACTCACGTTCCTGTTAGACACACAGAGCACAGCTTCGGATCATTACACACCGCCCAGGAGTTTCTGCCCAAAGTTTTCCCCCACACATGAGCACACTGAAGCATATGGACATGTGCTGGTTGCATGCGTTTGGCAGCCTGCGTGACAGAGAGGAGAGAGGCTGAGTGTAATATCCTTTAAATGTCAGACGATTAAAGGTGGCCAGGAGACGCTCGTGCCCTCGGTGTCAGAGAGAAACTGCGCCGAGCTGCCAAAACTCCATTTGTTTTCTCAGCCAATGAGCAATAAATTAGTGATTTAAAGGTAGTGGGTGTGGTGCTATACACCTGCAGTGTGACACATTTAGTGCATTTTATTATATAAATAAACAGCAAATGCGATATTACACGTCGTCATTATGAATTCACTTATGTAAACTGCGCTAATGTCTAAATACTCCACTGGCCCTAAATGGTCTTTTTTATTATTATGAGGGTTATTATTTCTTATGTCGATAAGCACTTACACTTATTGCTGGCTTCAGTGCTACTTTTTAATTATTTTTTTTTTACTACAGCTTGAACACTGCGTCAGATTTAACAAAAAGCTGAATGGAGCCTGAAAACACACTTCTCATTTGCATATTGTAGTTTAACATCACTTTTATAATTGCCATATTAATCCTGAGACACTAAGAAAACTGTAATCAAACAAAGACATAAGTACTAGTCTGTACTACTGGTCTGATGTTGTTTTTTTCGGGTCTTTAAATTACATTTTACATCATGTTGCACTCAACAAATCTCTCTGCTCAGTTGTTCCGGTGCAGCCTGGTTGCAGCTATTCAGATACGTCTGATGTTAAAGATACTACTGGTGGATTTTTCCTGGTTAGTGAAACAACCAGATCTTTGTAGATGGAATAAAGGATGTGTTGGTCATCTGTCCTACATAATTAACCAGCTATATGAATCAAAATGATGTGAAAATGGCAACTGGAATGGACATCAGTGAAGCTAAAAAGGCTGCTATAAGGGAACAGATTGTTTTGATAAAACCTTAAACTAACCAATTTCTGGCAATGCTACATGATTGTAGAATAAAGCATATTACAGAACTCTATGACATTTTTTTAAGGCATATTTTAGAAGTAAGCAAGCATCTACAAATGTGGAAATTCTACAGTAACTAACCAGGATGCAGATACACAACTCAAGTAAGTGACCCTCAATATAACAACAGGTTAACTGAAGCTGTAAACATTCTTCTGTGTTTTAAAATTACACATTCAGAAGTCGTTTTTCCCATGAAAATAATCCGTCCCTGCCTCCAGATGACAACACAACTGGATATTCCACTCAGGGGCTCACAGACATGAAAAAACAGGTAAAAGCAGAACAAACATGAGTCTTATGTGGCCAACAACACGACCCCAAACAAATGCTTATGTTGCTCTGCATCTGCTGTATGTGTGAATAACCCGACTGTTTGCTAACACGTTAGCAGCATCAGGTCGTATTATGTCACATGTGTGTGACTGCCAGCTGGTGGGGACGTCTGCCCCAAAGTCAGCAAACTTTAACACACAAGAGGAGGCAAAGAGCAAACCCACTGTGCAGATTCTGCACCAAACAGACAGTGTTAGCGACTAACTGGTGAACACAGTGAAAGATTTAGTAGCTGAACAGTTTGATATATTATTGAGGAGTTTCCACGGCCATGAAGAGTTAAAGGCAGTGTGAATTCTGTATTTGGAAAACTTGACTCCAAATGAACAAATGTTAATGTTGATCTGTGGATGTCGGCAAATCAGCCACATGATGTTAAAGGTGGAGCGCAGTTTTAAGTCACAAGAGGAGACGAAAACTAAGGAAAGAAGCTGAAGCTACGGCTCGGTTCTTATTGAAAGTGTACACAGTTCAATGTAGCTTCTGGACCAGTTTTAAAGGCACGGCACTGTGGATTTATGTTTTAATACCTGCGTCTATTTAGAGTCTGTGAAGATCTTCACATGTAGCTCAGTGTGTATTATAACAGATTTAAGAGACTTTAAACGTGATGCATAAAACACAAAACATGAAAACAGTTTGTTGTGTTGTGACCCTCAGCTGAAGTATGTGAGCATCAACTTTTAATTATTCAGTCAAATAACCACTTGAGTATTTAAAGTTGTTGACAAACTCCTGGCAGGTGTTTGTCTTGAGTCTTGATGCAAGGTTATCTGATAACGCACACAGGAAACATACAAAGAGGAGCACTAATTGGAAGCTACAGGCGGCTGTACTGTGCATCATATGACCAAGGACACCAGCAGACAAACACCAAAATAAAAACACTTGAGAGGTACTATAAAGTCTTTTATATACTGCTTTCTTTCACACATTTCCCTTATTTTTGGCCACGATCTGTTCCTAGATTCAATTAACCTCAGTCAATTAGAATCCCTCTGAAGTTTTCCTTTGCTGCACATCGTCTTCATTATGATCTTTGAGTGTGAAGAATCGAAACTGCAGGAAAAAAGTTTCAACAACGAGAGTTTCAAACACAATTTGATTAACCCATAACATTCTATAATATTTCTTTAGCAAACGGGAAAGACTGTTTGTTTTCTTTAACTCTTGAAACCAACAGCAGGTTTCTGCAATATGCCTCCACAGCTGCTTTTAACTTGTGGTTTTATAAGACTGGATACAGAGAATTTTTACTTTCAAAGACACAATCCAGGCTTTTTTCAATAAAAAGACACGCTGTTCTTAAGAAAAACTAATCACAGTGTGTCCACTTCTAGTTCACTAACCCCTACATCTGCTGTCCCTGGGTCTACATTCCTCATGAAAAATAAGAAATGAGGACAATAGTAGCTCATGTAGTTATTCCTTTCTACACTTCACTGGTCTGGTCTGGGAACTACACATTGAACAACAAAGATTCTTGATCCAGTGGATTTTAGCAGAAAAGCCACACAGAACTATTTCATCTATATCACTGCTCACTGGAAGAAACCTTTTACATTTGTCATTTCAGTGGTCTGAGTTAACATTTAGATGTGTTTCAGCTCACTTTAGTTTACATTCAGCCACATGCTTCTTCATTAGTCACATCATAAATCTGATTACAGTCTTGTCCATTTAAAACTATCCATCTACTACAATCACCAACCTGCATATCTGGACTAAAAGCCAGACAGCGTCCAGTCCGCTCTCTGTAAATGTGTACAGCTCAGTTTCATTGCGCTCATTACTATGGGATATGCTTCTAAATCCATTATGCCAGCTCAGTGTGTCTGGCACTCGCGAGCTCTGCACCGGGCCGATGCCTTTTATATATGGCTAACCAAGCGCCACTTGTCATTTAATCACCTCTTCTCGCTTAAGAAGCCGAGCTGTTCTTCACCGGATCACAAGACGAACTCGCTAAGGGGGAAAAAAAACCCTCAGTCACGGGGGGATATCGGTGTCACAGCTTTCACCAGGTGGGTTCTGCAGCTTCTTTAATGGCTTACAGTACTGACAGTATCTATTTTTTTCATGCCTGGATACCTTGAAAATCAATAAATCTCTTTTAAAAAAACCTCAGTGTTGCACATATTCAGCATTCTAGTAGCCTATAGTCCTAATACCAACTGTTAAAAAATGCTTTTGAGCTATATTTTCCTATGTCCCTGTGAGAAGAGCAACATGAACAAACAAAGATAAATTTCCTCGTATAAAGAAAATTCATTTCATTTTCAGTATTCCTTTCCCATCACAGACATACTTCTGTTTCTAATAAGTTAATAGCAAATTGTTGTGTTTCTGTGTTGGATTAATAGACAGTTTAGTGTGTGTTTGTGTTGAAGACAACACCTGCAGGATTTCTACACACCATGACGATCATCACAGCAACACGCTGAAGCCTGTTGCCGCAAGTTAATGAGAAGCAGGAGTTTGCCGTCACCTCGCTTACATTCTTTGTTGGAGCTACTTAGTCTAAACAATTATCACAGTAATTAAATAAGAAAGAAATTAATCATATTCTTTCCTTTAGCTTGCTTGCTAATAGATATAGCTGCTCTGCATGCATGAGAAAAGAGACGCGCTCTGACTGGTGTCACCGCAAGACTGCTTGACACCAATTAGAGAAAATGTAATTATAATGCAGCGCAAATGAACATATTTGGATCATCAGAAAGGAGAAACTAACAGCAAAAGTAGATTAGAATGAGAATTGGCCCCTAAAAAGAGAACATGAAGCGGCAAAACATCTCTGGAGACAGGAAGCTGAGATGCATTTTAAGCAAGTGCAGGTAGAGAGATGGAAAAAGGAGGAGACAAAATATGTCAACCAGAAAAGAACTAAATATGTGCTCACAGCTGAACAGATGAGACTGAGACAGAGTTACGCTTTCTCTTACAATCTAAAGCCCTCAATCTTAATTTTAATGAGTTCAACTTCATAATTTCTGATATTAGCTGAAAAGGCTACTTGTTGCTGCCGAACACGACTCAACAACCTGAAGGACAATTAATGACCCATACTACATATAAATATATCCATCCATCCATCCGTTAGCTAAACACCGCTTAGTCCTCACTAGGGTCATGAGGGGCTGGAGTCTATCCCAGCTGACTCAGGGTGAAGGCAGGGGACACCCTGGACAGGTCACCAGTCTATCACAGGGCTACACTTAGAGACAGACAACCAAGCACACTCACATTCACACCTACGGACAATTTAGAATCACCAGTTAACCTCAACATGTTTTTGGACTGTGTGGCAGGAAGCCAGAGAACCTGGAGAGAACCCACGCTGCACGGGGAGAACATGCAAACTCCACACAGAAAGATCCCGGGTGTCCTCACCGGGACACGAACTGGCGACCTTCTTGCTGTGAGGCAACTGCGCCACCTTGCAGCCTTACATCAATCCTAATAATATTAATAATAATGACTTTACTTGTGTAGCACCATTCATAAAGTGCTTTACAATAAAAAAAACAAATGTCAAATTAGAAAGATGATTAAAACAAATTCAAACAAATTAGGTCGTAAACATGACATATGAACGATAAAGATAAAAGAGTTAAGTCAAGTTGAAATAAGTCAAGATAATGTTTTTATAAGGTAAATAAGGAACCTAACGAGACTAAATCTTGCCATTAGGACCCTGTAATGTCATTTAAGGTGTGATTATACCTGAGTAATTTACATATTAGGAATTAAACCCTACAAAAATCACATAAAATACTACTTTAATGACTGTATTACATATTAAAGCTGAGACCCTACAGAGTTACTAATTATGGAGAATAACCTAACTGATGTAATTATATAGCTAGAGATGCTATGGTATTATAAATGAGGGAACTTACGTGATACAAATATTGTGGCTAAAACTCTACAGTGTTATTAATTATGGAGGTTAAACTGAACAACCCTCTTTAAATAGTTGCATTAATCTTCAAGTCATATATCTGAACCAATTGTAAGTTGACAATATTGTTTCTTTAATCTTTCATAAAGTTATTTGAGTTAAACAGCAGGATGTTATCAGATCAGACAATATTTTGATTTTGAAGTCTGTATCCCCAAACACATTTTTAATCAAATTAGCACCAGCTCGGTGATATGAGGCCCGCTGTGTTCTCCCACCCACACAGATCAGACGAACCGTTGATAGATCAGATAAAGAAAAAAAATACAAAACCTGCCGCCTTAATATGTAACTCTGCTGCTTCCTTTGTGTCGAGAAAAAGGTGTGATCCTCGTGTAATTTCAGCTGTCATTATCACGGGTGCAAGTCCCGGTAAGTAAGTACAAATGTGTCTTGGAGAGACTCGCGCATTTACACCTCGTAAACATCTGTTTGGAAAGCATCTGGCTGGCTGCATTTACACTTTTCTGATATCGCGGTAATCTAATCTTCACAGGCGGCACGGCGGTTAAGGCGCGCGAAGCGTAAATGGGCTACCGGCTTGCGAGTACAGTAAATAAACGGATTAACCTGCTCTTCATTAGCCCGCCGTGGAATTTGTGTCACATCCACGAAATTCAATGCACATGATTCACACTCAGAAGTCTGGCGGCTCAAGTTTCAGCTCTTCCGGCGCGACAGCATGTGTGCACGGCGAGGGCGGGAAAATGTGCGCGAGAGACGGCGAGACAGAAGAAGAAGAAAGGGATAATATGATGGAGAGAGGAGGAATGGAGTAATGGGACGAGGAGGAGGAGGAGGAGAGAGTGGCTAAAAGGGAGAAGAGGGGAGCGAGGGGAAAATGAGAAAAGCGAGGGGGGGATAATGGGAGAGAGAAGGAGAGAGCAGGTGGCCGGCGATATACCAAACCCGCCATGAAATATTCAATCTTTAATCAGACTCCCAGCATTCCCTAACGAGGCGTGAGAAAGATGAATTAGCCCTTCGAGTTTAGGGAGCTGATCCACACAAAGCTATCTGCTGCAACACACACACACAGAAGCAGACTCAAAAAAACACACACACACATACATCATAGTATTTTCACACACGGACAGTATTAGAGGCGAGTGAAGCTTTTGTTAGGCAGCCGGTACGTGTGGTTTATTTTCACATTTAGAGCCGGTGAGGCTGAGATTAATGGCCCACACGTGTAGCCAGACAGCAGAGAGACGAGCACACACACACAAACAAACAGGAGGATGCAAATGTAGTCATGGCAGCACACAACTTGTGCCGCACTTGTGCCACATCGTCAAGAGGAAATATTTAGAAACACTCTCATTCCAGAAACAACACTGAAACAAGTGAGCTGTTGTGCAATTAACGCGTGTTCTGCAGGAATAATGACGGATGCAGGTAAACGCTAAATGTTTCAGGCTAACTTATTCTGTGGGCTATTTTTTTTTATTTTGGTCCTTCTGATGCTTCAGTGTTTGATCGACAGGAATGAACAACCCGTCAAAAAAAAAGTCTGGTACACAGCCGACATGTCTGCATTTAGAAATATTTATGAGCTCAGCTTCAGCCAAAGAAATTTCATCATGCAGGCCCTGCTAATACTTGAACAGTTTGGAAAGCAATATTACAAATTCAGATTGTATATAAGGAACCTATAGTAGCTGTGCTGGAATGTGCTCCACTGCGTTTCTATTTTCTTCTTCGACATTTGAGATGCAAACGTCAATACTTTACATAAAGTGCGCCAGATACGATGTGTTAAAGATGAAATAGGCGTTCTGCCTTGTGGCCCCTCATTAAAATAACAGTTGAGGGCCTTTGTCGCGTCTCCGATGTGTCCGCCTTGTTAACATTTACATCGAAGGCACATTTCCCCTCTAACTTCTCACAAGCTTTCATTTGAATAACTGCTTGAGGCCCAAAGACATCGAATTATTCAATATTTCACAAAAAAAAGCAAAGATAATTCTCTATTTATGCACCAGAGCTTTATAATTGTTTCTTCGTTCTTTCATCTCAGGGGGGAGCCTGACCCAAAGGTTGGGAACTACTACACTTATCTAATAGCTGTGCATGCATAGTGCAGGGAATAAGACTATGTGTACATTGAAACCAGGAACTGATTACATCACTGGTCGGCCAGCGAAGGAAACTGAACAATGAGCATCTGTAGGTTAATCAGCAGCATTCTTAAGGTGTCAAACGGCTCTCATTGGTTTGGCTACGAAATACCATAATTAGGTGCACTAGATTAAAATCTGGTTGTTCTACAGCAGCTTACAAGTAGATTTAGTCAGTTTACCATGAAGAAATTATGGTATTATATAAAATAAATGCACTTTAGCTCAAAGTGATGATATGCACCTTCTCTACACGTGATAAACGGTGTGTATTTAATGTTCCTTAACTGTCCTTGGGGGATGTAAATGAGAAGCCTGTGGGTACTAACACTGATGTTACTTTTCAGCCGAAGCTTTCATTGTTGCTTATTTTATCATGAATACATATAATTTACAATTACTGATACTATTTTTAACATTTTAACAATGTTTTTTTGGCCACTTGGGGGCAGCAGACACAAGTTGTGAACACAAGATTGACACAATGCAACTTTTTAATATAATAACATATCAATATGATCAACTTTTTCACATACATGCATTGTTTTTGCGTCCAGTACTTATAAAGCAACACTACCATCCATTTGGAGTTGTGTTATGGACCGCCTTGGAAGACTTAAGCCCATATTAATCCACTATGCTAGCCAGCCACTTGCTAACTATATCTACCTGTTGTTTAGTGCTGAGCAGGTGGTGTGTAAGGGCTGTTAAGATCTGTAGGAGTGAATCAGAATGAGTTGAAATTCACTATAAGGTGCCACAAAGCTAGTATGTGTGTAAATGTAGCAATGTAACAATGCTGAAAGTCATTTGTGTGGATTAGAAAGGTCAAATAAACATTTAGTGTATATGTAGGTCGATATATAGTTGTGTTTGTTTATCTTTAAGAGTGAATATCGATTAATTTCTATTAAAATGGATTCTTATCGCATGTGACTTGTTTGGATTCTGCAAAGTGACGAAAACAGGGGGTCGAAACTAAAGACCTAACAAGTTGAGCCACAAAACAATATCATGATGGATTCCCGCAGATGAAACCTAAGAGAGCATTAAAAAAAGAAAATAGTAAAGCCTAACACTTGCGCATGTACACATTTTTATCAGATCTGTTGATCATATTTATTGAATTTTACAGAGTGGAGAGTAAAAAGGGAGTGTTGTCTCAGCACACACACACACACACACACACACACACACAGTGGACAGCACGTTTAATTACGGCGGCAGATGATGTATTAGTTTGTGAGGTACTTCTGACACCACCACTATCAAACGTGCCTTCATTATTCCTGCTTCTTATCCTCTTGTACCTGATATTCATAATTAGTGAAAATGAGCCAAGTCAATTAATACCTTTAACAAGCCAATTTATACGCATTACAGAAGAAGGCGTAAAGTACTTTAGTGCATTTTTCGTAGGGATCTATATAATTAGTTAAGGTGTACAGTACATTATGTATGTCACTTCCTGCTGTTAACTTTATGCGGTGATAATATGTGTGCGTTCGCAGCTGCTGCTCTATAAATACAAAAAAGTGTAAGTTAAGGTGAAAAGACGGGCATTTTAACCACAATGTGCATTTCCTTAAAAGTATATGTCCCCTAAAATAGAACAAAATGAAACACTACTTCTAAAAGTGGCACAGCAAATTACAAAAGAGTTCATTTCTGTATAAACCACAGGTGAAGGCTGAACCCTGACAACGGCGTATATTTAAGTAACTGATGTATTTTATTGGCAACACATGTAAAAACAGAAAGTGATATTCACCACTTTCACTTCAAAGTCACTGATCTACTTGAAATCCAACACGCCAGCACTCAGGGCCAAAACAAGACAAAAAAAAAAAAAAACTAAAATATGTGTCACGGTTCTACTACTTCCAGACTGCACTGCATGACTACCATCATGTCTCAAGTGAGAAAATGAAAAGGCACAGCAGCTCTAAAGCCAAATGGTGAGTCATCTTAAATGCAGCAAAGTCTATCAGTTCTCTGCGTGAAGAGTGTTAAAAATAACGCCGACTACAACCTAAAAATAACAGAGTGGTTTGAACTAAACAGAACTTTTTTTTCTCCTCTGTTTTAAAAGTGAGCAGACTGTGAACAGACTGTTTCAACAGTTATGCAATATTAGATACTTAAAATGTGTGAATACTTTGGGTCATACAGTAACGAAGAAAAAAAAAAAAACATGTTAGAGATGAAGATTAAAAAGAAAAAAAGTGAGGAAACATTGGAGAAACAGATTGCGACACTGACCGGAGACAGCCTGTGGCGTTGCGGAGGACCTGGGAGGAGTGTAAGTGCAGCTTGCGATCCTCCTGTGTGTGCGGGGACGTGTCCCAGCCCGAGTGTGGGATGATTACAGCGTTGGTCAGCACGGCCAGAGCGTCCTGGATGATGGGCATCTTCAGGGCGTCGCATGACGACAGGTTCCACAAAACACCTGAAGGGGACAGCAGAGAGAAGGGAGGTGATTAAAAAAAAAAAAAAAAAAACGATGCAGAGGAAGGAGACAGGAAGGAAGACAGACACAAAGACATCTCCGGGCCAGAAACTGCTAAAATATTTAGTAGGTTTTAGTGAGCAGCGTGATCCAGCAAACACCAGCAACACAGACAGCTACTGGATTTACAGCCGGCTGAAAAGCCTGACACATGCTCTCAAACCAAGTATGATGAGCCTTTTACTTAAAGACGCTTTCATATGTCTCGGTGGGAAAAGCACAGGTGTAAATGAGAACTTTAATAAAGGCAGAATTTCAGGGTCAAACAGTGTCGTGGCTGAGTGAGACGCTTGAACAGAACTCAGCCAGTGTAAATGCTGGTAAATGGTAAATGGACTGCACTTATACAGCCCTTTTCTACCTTAGCGGCACTCAAAGCGCTTTACAGTGTGTTTCTCATTCACCCATTTATATATCAATGGCGACAGAGCGCTAGTCTTCCATTGGGAGCAACTTCAGGTTCATTGTCCAAGGACAGTTTAACTGTGGAGGGGCCGAGGATCGAACCACCAATCTCATGATTAGAGGACAACCGTTCTACCACTTGAGCCACCGCCGCCACCGCCGTGTTGGTAATCGGATTGTCAAACCAGACAAACTGGACAAACACTTGGAGCTCCCAAAAGACCAGAGTCCACACTGTCGACAAAAAGCCACTGAAAGAACATGAAGGCCAGTTTAGGGAGGTCTGAATCTTAGTGAGTCTTCCAACCACAAGACCCACCCACCTCGAACCCTTTTGGTTTGGTTTTACGGGGAGAAACAAGTGTCTACTCCCCCCAGAAAAACTGCTGTGCGGGTTTTAAAGGTGATTGTTTAAACTTGGAGAAGACGAACGCTGACATCACCATCAACACTGTAAAATTCATCATATAGACGAACATAACAAACCTCTATTGCTCTAATCCCAAAGTGCTCATACAACTGGATTTACTGGGGTTGGTTTGGCGCCCTCAGAATTAATAGATGAAGCTGTCAGATCCTACAAACACAACGTTCACATAACCTCACACCTGCCCCTAGTTCTGTGTTAGGTGTGAGGGGGGAAAAGCACAGAAAAGTAGCAGCAATGATTTAAGGCTCGGTCACCTTTAAGAAAGCTTGGAAATAATCTATGCTTCTTTTTGTGCATTTTGTTGAATTCAGCCAAAGCAGTAAGTTTAAGTGAGAAAAGCTCTTAAACACCTGCGATACAATATCTGTCCAGTACCAAACACATTAGAAACAAAGTCAGCCACTAACTGCTGGACACAGTGGAGCAGTTAGCGGCTACACAGCCAGAAAACAGCCTAATACAGGGTCAATACTGGACCTAAAATCACTATTTCCAAATGAATCCTGTTACTCAGCACCTGCTGGGTGCATAGATGGGACTTTTAGAAGGTGATAATACTGTATGTCTCTGTTTACAGCTGCCCCTAGGTGGCAAAAAAACCAAAACATTTCAATTGTATAAAAAAAAAAAAACAGAGGCTGTGAAAAAGGCAATGACCAGCCACGTTAAATCCTTAAAGATCTAAGTTTGTACATATGGAGGTGGTCACTCTATCCTTCAACCAGACTACAAGTAAACAACGTTTCTGAAGCTGACATTTTCACATCAGCTTCAGGATTGCGCATCAAAATGGCAACGATAACTCATCTGGTAATTTGAATTATATCCCGACTATATTTACTTTCATCAGCATTCATCCCAATAAAGCTTAAGTGTGCTCTTGAAGGAATGACCTATTCTCAAACTACTGCTTGTAACTTTTACATTAAAGGCACAATTTTATAGATTTGACATTTGTAAGGATGAATTCAGGTATTAAATCAAAATGATGATCTGAAGTTAGAAATCGATGACAGAGCCGGAGTGAGAAAGCGTTTCATATCACAATACGGAGAGCAAAAAGGCAGTGGACATCAGAGTTTATAAGAATCAGGGGCTATTCTTTGGTCTCTGAGTGTAGATAAGTGCAGCACTGTTGGGTGAAGTGGCGTTTTCTTTGATTAAGACCACGTTTTTGTGTCATCCAGTTGTCCATCAGCCAATCACAACCCTATCCCACCTGAGGGCAACAGGAATTATGCAAGCAGACATCAAACTGGACACTTTAATGGTGGTGTAGCAACCATTCAAAGTTAAACTCTGAATCTGTTCACCTCAGTATCTGTGTGAAGTGCTTTAGAGTTCACGTTCAAACTTATCAAATGTGCTGGACTTCAGGCTCCAACATGTGGGAGTACGATGCAGAGTACCTCAAAGGGCTATTCTGACCCTTCTATGGACATCAACTCGTAGCCAAATGGCAACACTTGGGGATGAAAATCAACATGGAAGTGCCAAAAATAATACAATTGCAATACTTCACATGGCCACTTGAGGCTGACTTGAAAAGTGAGTCGGTCTCCATAGACCCCCATGTAAAAATGAGCAACTTTAAAGCAGAAATAAACATGTTTACAGTCCGCTACAGAAACACTTTTGATCTGTATGGCTAATTTCTCCATTCGTGCCAACTGGGGTTATATTTTTTTGTATCAGTTGCTAGTTTAAACTGCATTATAAGGCCTAAAATCATGTAGTCTTGTCTGGTTAGCTCTCTAATGGTACTACTTGTGCTATTCTTATACCTGCTTGACTAAAACCCTGTTTGCACTTCGTGTCTGCTAACAACTGTATTGAGTTTGCTCAAATCTTACTTTAAACTGTTTTACTTCCAGTTAGTTTTGATTCATCGTTAGCAGAAGTAATATCTGTATACACCTAGTTAGCCCTGGCCCTGCTTTCCCTGACTGTTACTTTGGGCTTTGGCATTGCAGCTTTCTAGCTCCAGTTTTCATTTAGTTGATTCTTTAGCTTTGGTTCCTTCTGTTGTCATGAGCTGCTTCAGCAAGTTTTTGGTTCATAGAAGTATCTAAACTTTCTGTTATGTACCTTTTGCAAATAAACTTGATTCAAACCACTGGTGCTGCCTGCGTCTCATGTCGGCTTTTTGGGTTCTCTGACTTGCTGTGACAACAGTTGACATATTTAGCCTAAAACTCCACTCCCTGAGTCTGTTCTTGGTAAAGGTAGAGTTTGAGGTTATGGAAAAGATTGGAGAAGAAGGGCGGCTAAGGCTCAGGTGGTAGAGCGGGTTGTCCTCTAATCGCAAGGTTGGTGACTCGAGGTTCAATCCCTGGTCCCTCCGCAGTTGAAGTGTCCTTGGGCAAGACACTGAACCCGAAGTTGCTCCCAATGGCAGGCAGCGCCTTGCATGGCAACTCTGTCGCCATTGGTGAATGAGAAAATAATGTAAACCGCTTTGAGTACCGCTAAGGTAGAAAAAGTGCTGTATAAGCGCAGTTCATTTAAGGTTGTTATTTTGCCAACTTGCACATTTTAGCAGCTAATGTACCAGATTTATTGTCCTTCTTGCTCCCGCTGCCTGCTTCCCTTCTCATCCCCCCTCCTTGTTCTTTTCCCTCATTCCAGTGCTCGAACATGTACAGAACGCTGGAATAACGTTGTGTGAGTCAATCACTTTGTTTACTTCCCATTCACAGAACCAGTCCTGTGCACGAGCACCAGATTTGTTTTCGGCGAGCACATGAAATGGACAGCCTGTGAACCGCGAGGAGATATTCACTGAATTTGACAAAACGTATATTGGATTGGACTCGCTGACTCTACCTTTAAGCTGTTGGAAGTCACTTCTCTTTATTTCATGTTGTCCAGCTGAACACAAAGAAAGCAGCTCGTCTCCTAGTTGTCAGGAGGCTACTACGTGTCTTCTGGCGGGCGTGTTGTCTGTGTACGCATGCTATCGATTGAAGAATGAATAGAAAGGATGGAAGCATGTTCCTCTGAGTCTGTAGCAGTCTACGGACACGAACTGAATACACGACATAAAACTCACATTTGTAATTTCATGTGTTCAATGTCATGTAAATTATTCTTCTGTGATTTTTATTGAATGATTGAAAAGGTGTAAAAAAAAAACGCATTAGCTGAAAAGCACACGCGACCTTCGTCAAGCGTTTTTAATTACGCTGGAGTGATGCACTTCAAATGTTATTTTAACATTTCAAGAATGTAACGTTTAATTTATTGCTTCAGGTCACCACTGTGCTGCTGTAATTAATAGAGGACATGAAAAAAAAAAAAAAAAGTTCTGTACCGAAGGCAGTAAATCACTTACACAAAATTCCATTGCACCTCTTTCCTGTTTCTTAATCCTCACCTGAATTCAACATACAGTGATCAGCCAAGCAAGAAAATGGAGTGAGTTTTCTCCTGCCTACCAATTACTGTCCAGTCTTTTTCCACTGTGCACACAAACACACACACACACTGGAATAGACAAAAGCGCTTTCTCTCCAGAGACAAACTCTCTCTCCCACACACACACACATCCGATTGAACCTTTCAAGAAAAAGGACAAAGAGGGTAAGAGGCAAATCACCACATTTTGCGGCGAAACGCTTTGATTTCTTGAGTGTGTTTGCACACACTCATGCACGCAAATTGTGATAACCTTGGAGAGCCACACACCACGTCGTAATTCTTGTTGACCTTCTTCTTGCAAAGTGTCTGTGTCGTAATCTCTGTACTCGTATAATTATATGTTTGTGCGTTTGAGAGTGTCCACCCCTAGTCATATCTGCACTTATCTACCCCTTTTCCTTTATGGTGGCAATTATAGCTGTAGTAGTGGTAAAGCATCCTGTCCTTAGATCTACGCGCCTCTGAGTGTGTGTGTGTGTGTGTGTGTGTTTGGAATAAGGCGTTCTCTCTTCAGAGCCGCGATGTTCACCCACGGCTGAACTGCGGCTGTGTAATTACAGCCTCCGTTATCTGCCTTTGCGAGTTTGTATGAATTTGCTCTTGTGCGTGTTTGTGCGTACACATGTTGTGCATCCAAGCCACCCCTTGACAAATCAGTCGTAACCCCGTCAGCCGTTCGGTGTGT